TTGCTAAATGTTCTCTCTTGAATCCCCATGAGTAGAGGTATTGATTCTGTTTGAAAGTACAGTGTTAGTATTTTTTATTAATAGGCGAAAAGAAACTTTACCTCTGTCTTAATTTTGGTGCTAAAAAAGTCTTGTTCAACTCAGCTACTTTCTGGACAATATTTACCGTGTTTAAAATTGAGACTGAATCTGTTTGAAACACTGTGTTGCTGTATTGTGTTTCTACGTTGAGATTAAAACAAGTCTGCTCTCAATCAACTCGGTATTTCTTTACAACCACATAAAGATTATTGCTTTACCTCCACATTATAATAAAGACTAATAATGGCTTCCATCCTTCATCATTTTCACAACCTTAGAAAATGCAAAAGGGAACTCCTTATGGCTGTGCTCTTACTCTGAGATTCCTCCAGAGCTCGGAACCATCACAATAAAACGCCCACACTTTCGGTCCTTGAATGGGGGTATTCTTCTTTTCAGCTTCTACCTATGTAACTTGGAGAGTTATATAACTATTGCCTGTCATTGTGTCTCTATACGTCACCTGGCTTAAACCCATTCATTACTCAAACTAGTTTAAGTTGGAGATTTCCATTAAGTACAAACCGTATTGATGCTGAAGTTCCTGATTGGTTCAAGTGATTTTTGCTTTCAAGCGTATCACAATAATTTAAACTTGCACACAAAATTGAGTGATTTTGACAGTTTGCACATTAACTGTCAAACGTAATCTAATATTGTGAGATTTTAAGGAGCATTTTCTGACGTACGTCAAATCCTATCATTCCCGTTGCGTCACAGTGATCCTTTGAATCAGTTAATAATACTGTGAGTTACATTATCAGTGACCATGAGGCACAATACAATATGGTTTGGGTAGCGGTCTGTTAAATACGCTTTCGGATATGATGCTCTCACTGGAGTCTTAAGAGGCTTCAACAGATGCTGCTCACTTTATCTGTCAGCAGATCAGTACAATCAAAGACCTCTACAAATTGAGTGTGGCAGCGTACTGTACTGTAAGTACTGTACATCATAGTGAGTGTGAACAGCCCTAGCTCCAGTTAATTGAAAACTCAGCATGGAAAACTAAAAAAAAGCTTCACCGTGTTTATATACGACTGGTGAAATAGTTGAATACTCTTTGAAGGCCCATCTCAAGACCCTCCTCTTCGACCGCGCCTTCGGTCACCATCCTACCCCCACCCTCCCTGCCCTCCACCCTTCCTGATCCCAACCCCCAGCTCGGGTCCAAATCCCTGACTGTCCAGGTACTCGGGACGTCCTCCTGACGTGAAAGGCGCTGTGTAAATGTAACTTGTTGTTGTAATTTTCTTTGCACAGGTGAGCATGTTCTGGGTATAGGTGCACATCACATTACACGGCAGGTTCAGGGAATGTGCACACATCGCATTAGTGGTTGGAGTGCTTGCCTGGCAAGCGAGAGGACCTGGGTTTGATTCCCGGGCAGAGGGAAACTTTAGGCAAGTTTCCTTATTCCACACGCCTCTGTTGACTGAGCAGTAAGTAGGAACCTGGTCGTTAGTCGATTGGTGGGTCGCTTTCCGGGATAATAATCCCTTCCAAAAATTGAGGTCACTCAAAATCCACGACTGTTTGTGCAATCGGCTGTCGCGATTCACTCACAAAATATACAGTCAATGCACTTTACAGGATATTCTGTGAGCACTTTGAGACGTCTCGAAGACGTGATAAGGCGCTATATCAAATGCAAGGATTATTATTAAGGGAACTGTTCTTTAAAAACAAGTTAAGAGTTTGTTAGGACTGTATCTATTTTCAACATATGTGTCAAATTTTCTTTCCTGCCTCCCTCCCGTTTCCCCACTTCCCAAACATTGATTTGTGGATAAAAATCTAATTTAAATTGGCCTTATTGGCCTTATTTATATTGTGTATAAGCGTGCAGTTGATGCGTCTGCATCAGTTTTATTTGAAGGACATTAAAATGTAATGGTTTGGGGCATTTAACACAATTGTAGTAAAGTGTTTGTTGGTTCAGGCCTATTGTTTGGTACAAGATTTGCTCTGGAATTGGCTCTGGGGAGATGCACCATACAGGCCACTTTATCAAGGTAAGAGCTGATCAACCAGGTTCTTGGCCAGTTCCTGTGGCGAAGGACAGTTGGTAACTCCTGCTGCAATTTCATATCTTTGGGATGAGGTGCTTTGCTGAGCTGGGTGATCTATGTCTCTTTTTGGGGCAGTTTGCTTTCTGTGTGAACAGAGTCTGGTTTATTGTGTGTGCTTTCCAATAACACCAAGAACTGGAGTGACGTAAACTTGGATGTTCTACCGAGAGGAACATTCTGCTGTTGCAGCTCGTGTTTCGAAGCACATTTCTTGTTTCTCTACTGTTGTTTCCTATTGTGATGTGCTCTAAAGTTATTGAATGCTTCCTCTCAGTTGCACAGTGGTTTGGACCAGCCATTTCACAATGAGCTTTCAGTGATATCCTTTTGATAGGCGATTCACTCAGTGAGATCAGGTTAGCTGCTGAGATGTAGTAAGATAGTTTTTGTACGATTCAATATTTCTACCCACTCACCGCAGGCTGTCCACGATGATGTGATTTCAGAGATAACTTGCATTTGGAACCTGAAAGTCTATACACTTGGCTAGAACTTCAACAAAAAAATTGAAATCAAATTGTGTTCTTGTTGGGATGGGGGTGGGGGTGGTAGTGGGAGTCTTTTTTGAGAATTGCATTACCCCTTAATTAACTTGGCAAACAAATGTACAGAGCAGTGTTTGGCCACTAGTTTCTAATGAAATCATCTTGTAGGACAGGGAAATCTTCTCACTACTTCACCAGTGTGATAGAAACTCATCTGTGGGGTGGTTCCCGTCTGCAAAACCAAGTTGAAGCCTGTTTCAATATCTGAGGCCAACTGCCTGACCCCCAAGGACACCCCCTTTCCAGTGGGATATTTATTCTGTCAAATTCCTGCCATGACCCATTCTGATTAGAACACCTCGCTTAAACTAGGCTGAAAAAGAGGGTTTGGGGATGACTTTTCTAACTCAATGTTGGGATGAGAAGATGCTCTTGTGAGGTTTCAAGAGTATATATATATATATATATATAAAAAAGAAGAAAATATGTACTGGCAATGATGAGGAGAGGAGATGCCATCCCAAACCAGTGCTAAGTTGCCTTTTGAAGAGATGTTGCCCCGGGAAAGAGGGAAGGTGCACATCCAATGTGATCAAAACACATTAGGAACATAGGAACAGGAGGAGACCACTGAGCCTCTCAAACATTTTATTAGATCATGATTTATCTGTATTTCAATTCCATTTACCTGGGGCCTTTGCCCCATGATCCCTTCATACCCTGACCTAACAAAAATATATCCACCTCAATCTTGAAAATTTCATTTGATCCAACATCCCCAACAGCCTTTTGGTGGGGGGAGAGTTCCAGATTTCCACTATCCTTTGTGTTAGAGAATAGATTTGTGTAAATCCAAAGGAAGATTAAGCAAATGGTATTTACTGAGGGGTGAAGGAATGCAGAATCCTCTAGTAACGATGCTTGTTTGGAAAATTGTCCATTTTGGTGATACTGTCTTCACACATTTTCCTTCCGGAGGAGAAGGAATGTTCTGTACACAGCGTATTGATGGATAAAAGCTCAGAGGAGAGATGCTAAAGCCCAAGTTCCTCAGAGCTGGATTCCCGTTCTGTCAGGCTTGAGCTGCAACAGTTGGCGTTCATTTCATCTGAGGTTTTTTTTAAATTTGATTTGTGTTTCAATAACTTTGTGCTCAGTCACTGCAAACTGTTTTTTTGTGCTTCTCTTATCAAGTGAACCATCTAACTGATCGCCCTGAGCCTCTGTTCCTTTTACCACTTACTGCCTTGAATCTGTGTGGGTGCTGGTGGGTGACGTTGCATTGTGTCTTGTGTTTCTCTGTCTTTAGTTGTTTTCAGTCAGTGCCTTACCCTGATTTCAAGCTGATGTGTTCTACTGATTTGTTCACTGTCTATAAAGACATCTGTTAGCAATAATATTAACTGTAGCCTCATCCAGCCAGTAGGGTCTGGATTGGAATGTCAGTCGCAACTCATCAATCTTTGAAGTCTATCAGTTAGTTCTCCCAGTGGCTTGTAACCTGTTAATGATCATCCAGAATCCATTGGATTTTAACACTTTTCAACTTTAATAGCTGTAACCATCTAAAAAATATATTCCAAACTTCTGTCCAAATGAAAGTTTTTTTTAAAAAAATTGGGAGGAGAGGGAGCCACGAGGTCTGACCTGGAAACCAGAACTCAACTGGCAGCAGGAATGCTGGAGACAAACAAGGAGAAGGCCAAAGTCATATAGTAAAGTGGAGCTTCACAGACTAGTGAGATCTTGTGGTGTGCGGTTGTTTACCACTGCTCGTTAGTGAGAGGGGAAAGTCCTGTGGTTCATGTGTCTTCTCTGGAGGCATTTAATATGCAGTTATTAATAATGTTTTGCAGAAGGGGGTTTTATGCTGATTTACAAGGGAAGCTATACACCTGGAAAGTCCTTTTTTAAAAAATAAAAAAAGCAAACACTTTATGTGGGTTCAGCATGAGCAGGAGGGCTCAAAGCAGATAGGGGACTGTAGGATTGCCAGTGAAATATGTCCCCCCATCCCCCTTCAGGGCTAAAGTGTGTGACTTACACTTACCAGTTATACAGATGGGAAGGTGAGGTTCGAACACAAAGCTTTCACGAGCCACCAGAACAGAGGTCTTATTGAAGCTGTGTTTTCTTTATTTGTAATGTTACTAGCTAATTGGACTTGCATTCCCTGTCCATTTGCTGCACTATTTGCCTTATTAGTGTAACCAGGTGGTTAGAGCCAATTTTCCTGCACAAAATAAATAAGTGAACATGGAAATCATCTGCAAACTGGCATCACCCATGAGCTAAGCAGGTTCAGTGTAATGGATAGTATTGTACTGTTTTCTAACCTCCATGTTGGCGCTGTTTGTTACAGATGTGCTCCAGGCTACACTGGAAATCCCATCTATGGACAACCTTGCACACAAGGTAAGTTTTGCACATTTTTGGCTTCACCTTCACCAGGGGCTGGAATATCAGGTGGGTTTCTGTTCATTTCCTTCAATCTGTTGGGACCGTTGTCCTTTGTATTTTCTCTTTGAACTCTTCACAGCTGACCCCTGAGAGGTGTGGGTTTGGATCCTACATTGCTCTATTTTTGTAGCAAGGCCCAGAGCCAAGTGTGTGAGCAATTGCAATTCCAAATGCTTGCTTACTGTGCTAAGGCACCATCAGTGGGTTGAGATTTTCAGAGAATTAAATGTTGGTCCAAACCCTAGCATCCTCCACTGACAGCCAGCGCCGGGAAAGGTCTGTCATGGGAGGTGACATCTGAGAAAGGGAAAAATTATGAAATGGAACCAACTGAGCTCCGAGGTCAAACCGAGCAGGTTTGTGACTGGGTCCAGCGTTCACTGCTGTTGGTGTACAAGCTTGCACTGGCGAGTTCTGGTGTTAATGCAGAGATCAGCAGCTGAGCTCCTTCGTGCTGAGAAACCTGACACTGGGACAAACTGCTGTTTAGGATTTGGAAATGATTTATTTTATTTTGAAATGTTTCGTGGGGAAGTACTTTACAGGAGTCAGTGTTCTCATTAAATCATGACCATAATCTTCGCGGATGCATCAGTGAAACCAGCAACTTAACTTTGTTCCTGTGTGTTCCAGCTGGCTGTAGCTGTGACGGGAGGGGAAGTGCTACAGACCGCTGTGATGCCAGTGGGCTCTGCCAATGCAAGGTAACTACAAGCCCCCCCCCCACCCCAGACGATGCAAACTCGATACCATCAGATTCATTCAATTACAACTTTTACAAAATAATATTTTGGGATCCAGCATATGAGTAATTTGAGATGTGACATAGAGTCAGTGTAACATGGCTTGGAAGAACCAGGCAACTGTGGATCTAAGGTTCCCAAAGTCTCCCACTGTGATGTAGACTAATCTAATATTGAATTAATCGCTATCAACATCTCCAGTAGTGCAGCAAGTGACGACTAGGATGGTAGAAGGTGGACTAGATGGACCTCAATCNTTTTTTGTCCAGTAATTCCTATGTTCAAATGTGATCCAAGGATTGTATTCCACAATCTGCTCAGGCCACCAGGCAGTTAATGGGATGTTCTTGGACCTTGGATGGGCCACATGGACTCATCCAGATTCAAGCCCAGCTCATAATATTTAAACTGCCAAACCAAAGTCTAGTGCTCATGTGAATAAGCTTCTCGTCTTCCCAGTGCTAAATAGGGATTAGAGACCGGAAACGCAAGAGCCAATTTTCTGCTCTCCCTTTCTTCACCTCCCCCACCTTCCCTCCATGTAAGTGGTAGCATGACACAACAGAGGCTCACACCACTAGACCCATCCACTATTAATGATGTTAATAAGCCTTAACGCTTGAAATAGCAGCTTTCATGACAGGAGAATGTCTCGGAGTACTTCTAAGGTATTTACTAGAATGTGTAGTGGTTGTTGGCAAACACAATTCTTCCCCAATACATCTTTAATAGCGTTTTGCTCAGCGAGATTGGCCAAGACTTATCTTTCAGAGGTGGTGACAGGCAGCCCTTAAAAAACAAAGCCAGATAGCCTTGCAGAATACATCTAACTGATCCAATACGAATTGCCTCGACAGTTACATAAGTGTCAGTTATCCCGAGTTAAACCGAGATCTAGAATGAGTTTTTCTGATTCCAGTCTAACGTTGAAGGACGGAACTGTAACATGTGCAGAACTGGTTTCTTCTTCCTTGATGCTGGAAACAGAGATGGCTGCCTCCCCTGTTTTTGTATGGGTGTCACACAGCAATGCAGGAGCTCCACCTACTACAGGGATACGGTATGTTAAGTGCTCTGAGACACCGCCCTATATAAAGGGCTCTACGTTGTTGTGGTTTGTTTCTGATTCCAATTCCCTCAAACTCCCCGGCCTTTCTCTCAAACTCACTGAACAAGTGTGCAAGTTCAATCTTCACCTTCTCATCTCACCTTCCTCCTCATCACCCGCCTCTGTCCATATCTCACATCATTGCTACTAAGATCTTCATTCACTCCCTCATCGCCTCCAGACTACATTTTTCCTCAGCAGCCTCCCCAGCCCCTCTATCCGCAAGCTCACAATTCATTCAAAATTCCAGTTCCCAAATCCTTACCCACATCAAACTTTACATACCAGTATCCTGTCCTCACGAGGCTTCACTGTCTCCCAACAAGACCCTCGCTCACATCTACAAATCCCTTCACACTCAGGCACATGCCTTCTTATGTTATCTTCTCCAACCTTCACTCTTCTACTCGCCCCCTCTGCTTGGTAAACACAGGCTTCAGATTGTCCGGGAGCCAACCCACAGAGTGGGAATGGCTCTATCGGGGAGGATGGGGAGGTCTCCTTTCCCAGCCAAGAACATAGAAACTGTGAGCTGTCGAGCACTTCAAACTTCAAGTGGACTTCCCAAGAATTGAGTTACAAGTACAGAAGGAAATCTCCTATTCAGCCTGGTTGGGTGATGGTGATTTCCGAGGGTACACAAGCCTATACCTTACCCCACGTCTGACTGCAGTTTGTGTGTATAGCTAAATGTCTATAACAACCTGATGTTCTTCGATAGATGCATTAGATATTGTGTTCAGGCAATAGCTGAGACGTGGTTTACCTGGGCTTTGTTGCCTGGTTTCTCTGCGTTGTGCTGTAATGACCCTGGCTGTTGCTAATCCCCTGTAGATCGTGACTCCCTTCTTTCCACCGAGCAACTTCCAAAACTTTGCTCTTGTGAACCGCCAACGTACCACCAAGATCACCTCAGGCTTCACGGTGGAGATAACAAACGAGGAACCACTGCTGTCGTTCAGGCACTTTGGCCCAGAGTCGTACTTCTGGCAACTCCCAGAGCCCTATCAGGGCGACAAGGTACGTCCCAGTGGGTCAAGTCTAACAGCTTTGCCTCCCAGCAATTTCTAGATTTACCAGTGTTCTTTTTATCTTTTCATTCTTTTGAACTTGAACAGTTCTGAAGAGCAGAGCTGTTGGAAGAAACGTTCTATTCTGTGGTAACTTAAGATCAGTTATTTGATGCAAGATTAACACTCCTGGGTTCTGTCGCGCACGAGCAAACTACTCAGTGACGTACAGTAACGTGTAAAGTCTGCTAATGGTGCAGAGTTTGGTTTTTCACCAATGTTTGTATTTTTATCGCAAAAAAAATGATGTTGCTGTTACTGAGCTGTTGAAAGCGTGTTGTTCCACAGTGGTGGGCGGATTGTGGAAATCTCCCAGTCGTCAGATTGTGATGGATGAGGTGGATGAGCAGCTGTTTGTCATTTAGAAGTAGAGCATTTCTATTTCTATTCTATTCAGTCCTTTCTGATAACATCGCAAAGTAATGTGGAACTTGTAACCTTAAGGTCTTCTCAAACCTATATCTTTTCGGAGGATTGGGAGAAATCTGGCTAGAATATCCAGTGAAGGAAAGAAGCCAAAAGCCTTCCAGTTTTCTTGTTAACAGACATTAAGAGGAGGTTTAAACAGTTCACAGATTTCCGTTTTTACTTCAACACAGATACTCAGAGGTTCATGTCCATGTTGGGTGCCAGTTGGTAAGACTGAAATCCACTTGCAGTTGAACTATTTACTTTGCCAAATTGTTGCAGTTGACGATGACGGCTGGGAATGAACTGCAGGAACTAGTTTGGGTCCCGGCAGTTGTTGTATCTTGTAATAGTAATTGAGGGTTAACGGTAGCTACAGAGCATTGAAACTGTAAAACTGAGCATACAATACACGTGTGTGGTTAAGTGGTAAGAATTGCTGATTGTAGGAAGCCTGTTCTTTGCTCACGGCAATAGGAAAGCCCTGTTTTTGGGCTGAGTTTGATAAGTCAAAGCTTTGCAAGTGTTTTGATTTCAAAATTAGGTACAAGTGAACCATCTATATATCTATATATGTGTTCAGATACATACACTACGCTTACAAGCCATCGCTGCTCAATTTTATGGATCGGTTCAAGGTTTTCTTCAGTGTTAAAGGAGTTGATGATCCTTTGATCCATTATCTGCAGATTAACATGACTCTTCTTTACTCCCCTTTCTCAGAGGGAACAGTTTTTTGCCCGTATAAGGCGTGGCCAGCAGGTAGAGTGTGCTGTGTAATTGCTGTGATGGAAACGTCCTGCTTGGGTGATACCTGGCTGTTGGGTTGTGCTGTTTGAGGGCTGTGGGTTCAGGCCAGGTTTGGTGCAAAAAAATGCAAAGTTGCAGCTTGTATTTTACTGAATAACATCTCTTTGGGAACGAGCATGGTTTGGGATATTTCATAACCTGCTACCGTAGGAAATAAGCTTTAGGACATCAGTCTGCTCCTGGTTTTCTTCCTAATGGACGTTAAGAAGTTTATAAAAGTTTACAGATTTCTGTTTTTATTTCAACAGCTTTTCTTCATGTTTCAAAGCCATAACTAATTCCCGGCAGTTTTTTCATTTCCTTGTTGTGCAGGTTGAGAGTGAGAGGGTCCATATCCTTCCTCCAACTTTCTGAATACGCATTGCAATCATAAAAGCCCTCGATGTGACTCAAACTAAAAATCTAAACTTCTGTTTCAACTCCTTCTTTTGGCTCAGGTTCTCGCTTTCCAAACCTTCCTGTGAAAGTCATGTTTACTTTATAGATCTGATAGATTTACACTTATATTTTTATGCCTTTTATCTGTTCTCCTGCTTGTCTCTCGTGCCCAGCATTACACCATTGGTGGCCACACTTCAAGCCACTACCCCCCGAAACTCTCTCCCTCAAACCTTCCATCTTGCCCCCTCTTTCCCCATCATCAGGTCATGCCTGAAGACCTTCTTCTTCGACTGAGCCTACGGTCACCTCCCTACCCCTGTCTTTGCCACTGTCAAGCAATCTGAGACGCTGCCCTGGATGAGGGGCACTATGTAAATGCAAGTTGTTGTTGTTGTTCCTCGGTCCCCAGAGAAATCTCTGCAGAGCAGCAAATGTTTACAATACTGATGGCCAGCTTTCTGATCAAATGGCTTTGACAGACGGACAGCACTTACACAATCCTGACCGCTTACACTCTGCTTAAGTAGTTTTTTTTCTTGATTTGAAAAAGACTGGAAATAACAAATAACAACTGAGTTGATTTTTTTATTACGTTAGAATTTAATTGCATGGAATACACCCGATGTACAACAGAGAATATGTTCTCCTGGACTGGGACAATGCAAACTAATGATTCCCCAAACGTAATCCTAAACACTGGATAGACTGGAATGTTTGCATTTGCCAGCTGTGCAGAAACTGTTGCGTGATTCCTCGCATGCGTTTGCATGTGTGTTGGAAGCAGAGGAACTCTGAACAGCAAGACGCCTGTGCAATGGTGTAACGTGTAATATTACGTTTATCAGAAAGACCCCTCTCTGACTGAGGTGCAGCTGAGGAAGGACGCCGCTGTCTGGCAGCTCCTCGATTCTTCTTCATCACTTGCTAGATCTAAGAGGTCCTCCCAGGTAGTGAAGTGCAGCATGGTGTTGTGAGCCGCATGGTTAGTGACCACAGATGGTGCTAGTGAATTGCTGGTTAGATTTAACCTTCAATTCACAACCAGTGGTTTATAAACGCAACAGCGTCGGGAAGTGGGATTACTGTATTTTCAGCTCAGTTTTCTCTTTTTGCCTAAAAACTTAACAATGCCATCGTGCACATTGTTCACCTCTGTGTAACTGTGTGTAGCTCTGTGTAGCTGTGTGTAATTCTGTGTAGCTGTGTGTAGCTGTGTAACTGTGTGTATCTGTGTGTAGTGTGTAGTTGTGTAACTGTGTGTAGCTGTGTAACTGTGTGCAGCTGTGTGTAACTGTGAGTAGCTGTGTGTAACTCTGTGTAACTCTGTGTAACTCTGTGTAACTGTGTGAAGCTGTGTGTAACTGTGTGTAACTGTGTGTAGCTGTGTAACTGTGTGTAACTCTGTGTAACTCTGTGTAACTGTGTGTAGCTGTGTAGCGCTGTGTAACTGTAGCTGTGTAACTGTGTGTAACTGTTTGTAGCTCTGGGTAACTCTATGTAGCATGTTCCCCTTGAATAGTACAAGTTTGTGGGATGAATGGTTGACAGTTTCCCCTCGATGGACGTGTATCACAATTATCTCTATCACCTTGAGTTCACTGTCTCAACTCCATAGTCAGAAGTGGAAGGAGCAGCTTCGGTTGGAGATGAACTAATCAAATATATGTGGCTTTGTTTCTGAATGTACAGGGTGTCCACAAAGTCCTGTTACCCTCATATCACTGTTACGTAACAGAGTGGGGGTGGGGGTAACATGACTTTGTGGCGACTGTGTACAAGATCTGCTGCAATTAATATTAAAGTACATAATACTGAGCTCCCTTTCACTGGTCGTTACTGATGTCTGACACAGTTTAATTGGGTAGTGAACGTCCACTCTTCCTCTACATTCAATATTTCCAAGTAGTTTGGGGATTAGGAATGGGATGAGATCCTGTAAAGAAAAGGGTTTAAGAGATGATCAGTTCCTCAAAGTGAAGAAAGGTTCAAATTCTCATGTGTGATTTTATTAGCGATTGATTGGTTGGTTGGTTGGTTGGTTGGTTGATTGCTCGATCGATTGATTGCATAACACGACTTGCTGAGCTTTCTGGCAATGATGGTTTTCACAAAGAGTTTCCCTGTCTGTGGGTGACTTCTTCCTCCACTTCTTTATAGTCCTCGCCCGATCTGGAAGAGCAGAAACGTATAGATGACGAGATCTGGGCGATAATTACTGGCTTTACCTCTCAGCAAGACAGTCACACTCCCAGCCCAGCAAGTGGCCAGAATCTGTCCCTTTCCTCCCGAACATTTAATAGACCGGGTCCTGTTGGTCCTCCGGCTCCCTCTGCCTCTCACACAAATCCTCTCCACTCTCTATCCTCCTCTTCAAGAGTTGCTGTTTCTCATTCTTCTCAACCTTCCTCTCTGCTTTCCTCTCCTGGTCAATATGCTAGACCCTCAGCCACTCAGGTACGCAATCCATCTCTTCAGGGAAAGGAATTATAATAGTAATAATAATCGTAATAATAATAATAACACATTGAGCTCCCAGATGACTGAGTTGCTACTATTAATAATTAATTAATAATAATTGACCGTCAATGACCAACCGTTCCATTTATATTTGTGAAGCGGCATTGGAAACTATTAAAAATAGATATTTTTTAACATTTCTTTTTAAAAAAATATTTGGAAACCTCTCCCAGTGCCATGACATTTGTAGCTCAAATTTATCAAATGATACACTTGGTGCGAAGAGGACTTCAGCTGAGGAATATTAAATTGGGTCAACTGTTTATCACAACTCATCTCGGGTAGCACCTCAGTGATCTGGGAGCTCAGTGTGTTCGTGTTGGGAGTGTGATGTAGCACAGGTCAGAGATGTGCACATCATTGCCCAACACTCCTCATCTGGTGACTTCCCAAACCAGAGTGGTCCTGCTAAATAACATGGATGTCGGGTGAAGGTTGACTGCGACTGTGAGACCCAGATGATCAAAATCCCTGCGGACACTCATAACTATGACAGAGGAGTGGAACCTGGGCCCTTGGGAAGATACTGATAATTCCTATGGATCCATAGCCCAGCAGAAGTCCTGGAGGGGTGGTGGGTGAGGGCTATGGGACTGGGGAAGGGGAAGATCCAAACTGGGCTGAGATCCTTTAATCTGGGCTGAGTAAATTCTGCCCCAGAAACTGACTACTCTGACTTTAGCGTAACTAACTGTAGCTGTTATTGTTCTTGGTCTGCGGTTCCTTTGAGTGAGGGGCTCTGTTGGTGACTGACGGATATTGCCTGTATATTTTTCTTTGAAAGTTCACGGAAGGGAGAGGGGATAGACGTGTTCCCTCATCACAACCTCAACAACCAACAAACCTCCTTCCTTCCTCTACGCTGAGCGTCAGAGCAGCAGGGTTTGAGAAGGTAGACATGGCTTGTGCATGGAGTGATCTCAGTGTAGGCGGAACTTTTACGCATGTTCAGGATGCGAATGACTTCAGAAAACCACTGTGTAGACACTGCTTCTCCAAGGGCTTGCAAAGCTGACTCAGAACATTGTAATTTGCAATAGCAACGTTTGCTGTGAAGTGTGTTTTATGAATTATTTTGCAACCACATGTTATTGTGCAAGATGTTTTTCTTTACTCAGCGGGTGATTAACAGCTGGAACAGGTGGTTGAGGCCAGGACACTGGGACTCGTTTAAAAAGCAGCTTCACGCTGCGATAGGAGGATGTTAGGGTGGTGGTTCTGGATGAGATCAGATGTGCTGAATGGCCTTCTTCATTCCAAACCAATATTGCGATCTTTTGAGCCTCTCTCCCTTGAGGCGGCCTAACCTCAACACTTAACAATCTTTTATTCCGTGCTTTTAATGAGAAACCCCGAGAGCTCAGACTTGTAGATGGAAATATTCAGTTTCAGTCCCAGTGAAGTTCACATGAGTTTCATGTCTAAACATTGGGGGAGGAGAGGGAAATCCTTTCTTGGCAAAATTTGGCAATAATTCAGCGGGTTGTTTTTTACCTGGCTGTGAAGACAATCTCTGTCCGAGATGAAGTTCTAAGGAGCGGAACAAATCAGATTGGACAAGAGCTGTCATTGATACCAGCATTACCAGTAAACTGCACAGATTCATAAATCATTTAGTTTCAACAGAAGTCTTGCTTATGTAAGAACTGTTGTGCTACTGTAGCAGATTCTAAATATCCCTCAATTCCTACATTTAGGATTAGGTAAAGTACCGTAGCAAATAGTTTCCTCACTTATAGCCCGTTCCCGACCCCCAGCTCGGCTCCGAAACACTGACTGTCCAGCGCATTGGGACGTCCTCCCGACATGAAAGGCGCTTTACAAATGTAATTTGGTTGTTGTTGTGTTTGTCAGTTGTAAATACAACAATTCCTAACAGTTACAATTTGACTGCATGATAAAACACCTGAATATTTTCTAACGTCGGACTATCAGGGCAGCTAAATCTGGGTGCAGTTTGTTGGCAAAGTGAAGGTTTTCTGAAGCCATCCTTGTGAAGAACTTTAAAAGGATTTGATCTATATCAGTGTCTCTGTGCTGACTATTTCTGCTCATCTCGTATCTGCCTCTTCTCTCCTATCCTAGTATGCTTTGGTTTACAAGGGTTTCAGCCTTCTACCTGAAAGCCATTACTATTGGCAGCTACCCCATCACTACCTGGGCAACAAGGTAATCAGTGCTGTTCACAGCTGAATTCAGCAACCATGTAGGATTGAATATTGCACATATTAAACAAGGTGTCTAGTTATCTAACTGACTATTATGGCTGTACACTTACTGGAAATCGTGACTGCTGATTGGGAAGCAATCTACAAATCGATCATCAAAATGTGGGGAAAAAATGATACCAACTCAAATACACGATTTATATAGGAAACGTTGGTTGAAATAGTGTATCACACATTTTACCTGAAGAAGTTTAGTGCTAACTAAGACGTCGATACATTTGTACGATTACTGTACACATACCTTGTTCTTGTGTTTTGGAGGAAACTCAAGAGCAGATGTTTTGTATGAAATTTCACCGAAATGGCGCAAACGTCACTTTGTTCCTCATTTGCACCTCTGACTTTTTTTTGCGGGATCTTATTAAAAATCTTTGACAGAGTTCTAATTGCTGCTTGTAACTTTTCTTTACTGCTCTAGAGTCGATGCGGTGCAAAGTATTTGTGAAGCAAATTTAGAAATAGGTGCTCTTGAGAAGTTGATATACAAGGCACCAGTTTAGTTATTGCATATATGTTTTTGTTAGTGGGAATATTACAGTGATGATAGATACACTATGATCGTGGATAAGATGTGTACCTAAGAGTGGTCCTAAAAGTGACATACTTTGCTGAGATAGGATCTACTCTGAATCACTTTGCTCTTGGTAATGTCAGAAAATAATAGAATATTTAAGTAAAATATTACCGGCCTTTTGGCTAAGATCAAGTGTAGTTTCTGTTCACGTCGGTTACTCCAAAGCTGGGGTTCATCTGCTGTTGAGATTGGCTTGTGTCGTTACCATGACCCAATCTCACCCAGAACTGGACATGGGGAGGATTGAGGTCCTGGTTACAGCTGTGGGTCCATCACCTTGGGAAGTCCTCCTGACGGGAAAGGTGCCATACAAATGTAAGTTTGTTGTTGGAGCACTTCCCTGAACAGTGAGACTGCCCTCACACACAGGTCCCGACTTGGGACTTGAACCCTCAGTATTCTCACTCAGGATCGAGTGCTACCAACTGAGCCTGTATAATACTGTATAATACTGTATAATACTGTATAATACTGTTTGGGAAAGTCTTAATGTTAGATATTAAAGTTTTTGAAGAAGTGAAAAACTGCCGTCAACAAATGATCAATTTCTGTATGGAGGAGCACGGTGGTCAGTTTGTCTGATGTAAGATGGTTCATTAGGTGTTCACCGATGTGGGTCTCTCTTGCTCCTCTCTCAGACCATCAGTAAACCATCTGAAGCATCGATCCATTTGGTCTGCAATAAAACCTGTTGTAATTGGGTGTGTGTTCTGTTCTGTATCACAGGTGGCCTCCTATGGGGGACGGCTTAAGTACACGCTCTCATACAATGCAGGATATCGAGCATCGTCTGTGCCAGATTCCGATGTACAGATTACTGTAAGTTGTGAGCTAACTGTTTCGTTTCTGTACACAGGCATTTATTTATACATCCTGAGGGATTAATTGATTAGCGCCTTGGGACTCCCTCCCAAAGTGAAGTATACTATTATAAATACAACTTGCCAACACTGCACCCCAAAGCTTTGGAACTCTCTCCCTCAATCCCTCCACCTTTCCCCATCCTTCCCCTCTTTTAGATCACGACTGAAGACCTTCCTCTTTGACCGTGCTTATGATCACCTCTTCCCTCCCCCTGGCTTGGCATCAGACTCCGTTACTGTTTAAGTGCTCTGAGATCTTGCCCCACAGGAAGGCGCTGTGTAAAGTTTCTGTTGTTTCTTGTTGTATTAAAATCCTCCCAATATATTAACATGTTTCCTTTTGGACCATAAGAACAGGAGGAGGCCATTCAGCCATTGAGTCAGTTTATCAGATCATAGCAGACATTTAATCCTAGTTCCCTGCCTTCTTAATACCCTTCCCAAATAGAATTTTACACACACAAAAAAGGTCGTTGGTGCTTTGTGCCATTGGTGCTTGTCTCTGTGCCTGTGAACTGGAAGAGCTATCCATTTCTCCCAATTCACTGCTCGTTTCCATACACTCTTTTACAATTTCTTTTTATATATCTATATATATTTGTGTCTTTCCCTCTTAAAAGCTATTATGAATTCTGCTTCATACATCATTTTTGTTAAGGCATTCCTCTTAAATCTATTTTTCAGAAGGAATATTACGTTATAATGTACTATGATTTGGCAATCATCTTAAATCAATGCCCTTTTAGTTGCCTATTCATTGTTTAGCGGAAATAGTTTCTCCCTACCTTAACTTATCAAAGCCCCTTTGATCAAACAGTACTCGGTTCCCCATATCTCTTTGAGACGTAGTACTTAATAAAACCAAACTACCTGATGGCTAACATACAATCTGCTGTTGATTGAGCTAAAGGACCATTGCTTTAGTCACCCTGTGAGTTGTGCACTTACCCACGTGTAATTTACAAGACTGTTTGTGGCCTTGTAGGGCAACGACATCACTTTGGTGGCTAATCACCATGAACAGCTGCGGGCAAGAGAGACCAAGACCTTTGAGATCGTCTTCAAGGAGGTAAAGGCTTCATTGTTTTACGCTGTGTGATAAGTGGCCTTTTGGCCTTGATAACAAGGCTAATTTCTCTCGATGTTTCTCTGTCAGCAATTGTGGAAACGTCCGGATGGTCAGGCGGCCACTCGGGAGCACCTGCTCATGGTCCTCGCTGACCTGGATGAGATCTTGATCCGGGCCACCTTCACCACAGACATGATCTCCGCTAGCATTGGGGGCGTGAGCATGGAGACTGCTGTCGCAGCTTACACCAGCCGGATCCAGGCTCAGGAGGTGGAGGAATGTCGCTGCCCGCCTGGGTACACTGGCTTGTCCTGTCAGGTGACTACAACAACAACATTACATTTATATCTGTAGCTCAGTGATTAGAGCACTCGCTTCACAAGCGAGAGGATCCGGGTTTGATTCCCGGGAAGGACAAAACCTCGGGCAAGTTTCCTCACTCCACATGCTTCTGTTGACCCAGCAGTAAGTAGGAAAACGGTTGTTATTCGATTGATGGATCGCTTTCCAGGGATGATAATCCCCCCCCATAAATGAATGAATGCAACAGTGAAAAAATATATAATTTGGTCACTCAATCCACACTGTTTGTGGGAAACTGCTGTGCCCAATTGTCTGCCACATTTCAGCCACAAAATACAGCCCACAGTCATTACGCTTTACCGTAACTGCTGTGAAGTGCTTTGAGACACAATAAGGCTCTACATCAAACGAAAGGATTATTATTATGTATTGTTGCATTTGCGTTCCTCTTGGAAAGGGGAGGGGGTGAGCGTGGAGGTTATGCAGTGAAACCAAGGGAAATAACTGAATAGAGGCCGGGCTGTGAATAAGGATGTTGTTTCTATGCCAGGACTGTGCTCCCGGCTATGCCAGGACTGGAGGCGGCCTGTATCTCGGACACTGTGAGCTGTGTGAGTGCAGTGGACACTCGGAATCCTGTCACCCGGAGACTCGGGTCTGCTCGGTAAGGAGTTTACTCTTATTTACACTCAAGCGAGCAACGTGCAAACAGCCTTCGAATATCCCGTAGCTCAGTAGTTAGAGCGCTCGCCTCACAAGCGAGAGGACCTGGGTTTGATTCCAGGCGGGGTGAAACATTGGGCAAGTTTCCTTACTCCACACGCCTCTGCTTACTTTGGGACGTCTCAAAGACATGATAAGGCGCTGTATCAAATGCAACCATTATCATCAGCTCTTTGTGTTCTGGTAAACTGACTCTGCAGCCAGAATCCTCTTGATTACAGCCTTATTGGGAGTTCTTTGTAAATGCTCCGACAGCAGGAAGGAGGGTGGGAGCTCTGGGATGAGTGACAGACAAGTGGTGAGAATGAGAAAAAATTCAAGTTGTAAATTGAGAAAGCTCTGAGCAGCCAACAGGGAAGATGCCAATATTGGGGCCAGGGCCTCGAAGGCTACACGAGATGTGGTGTGCGTCCACAACAACAGTTCTACATTTACACGCGCCTTTCGTGTCAGAGGACATCCCAAGGCGCTGGACAGTCAGGGATTTGGCTCCGATCAGGAGGGTGCAGGGCAGGGAGAGAAGGAAACCCTGGGTAGATTTGGGTGGACGTTCTTTAGAGTTGAGTTGAGAGGGGGTTAAGGTCTGATTGAGTTATCTAATATAATGAAGGGAATTAAGAAGCTAGATAGTGAATGACTCTTCCATCCGGTAAAGGGATCCAAAACAAAGGCACTGCCCCAGAAGGTTATCTGAGCTGAATCGATTGCGATAAGTAAAAAGCAGGTGGATGTTTGGGGTCGATTTGGGCAACATTCCTTAGAGGTGACAGGCAGACAGACAGCCATTATAAGGGGTATTTAGAGGTTAGGAGAAAAGGTGGTGAAATTAAAAGTTCTACCTTGATTTATTTAACTTGTGGAACAGGCTTCCTGGACTGCAGGTTTCTCTGTTGCTCTGCTGTGAATCTTGTGTGTGTTCCTCACAGGGCTGTTTACACGGCACAACGGGGGAGTTCTGTAATTTTTGCGCTGCCGGATACTATGGAGACGCTACAGCCGGGACTCCAGAGGATTGCCAGCGCTGTGCCTGCCCTCTGAGCAGCCAAGAAAACCAGTAAGTTCCACGGTATCATTTGGGAAGTCTCTGGAGCGGTTACTGCAGCTTTTTACTGTGTTGCTGTATATATTAACATTGAGGCCATGTTATTACATTCTCCTAGCGGCTAGAGTTTATTCGTCTCTCACCCAAAATTAACCCGATGGCCTCCTTGAACCAGTTCATGTTATTACAATGAATTAATTTGAATTCGGGGTTAGTTATGTGGCACAGCGCACATCAGCTGATGCCCTTGGCCACAGAACTGACACTACAATTCAAATTAATTTGTTGTGGGACGTGTTTGAAGACGTTTTGTTACCATGTGTACTGGGCTTCCCAAGCCTTGACTCTTGCCAACCTGCGCCTAATACTCTCCGGAATTAGGTAAGCAGGATGTGTCCCTCCAGGGAGCGAGAGAACATTCCATTCCAACAACCTATCTCTGGGATTTCCATGTGCAGGTGGGATGCATGGAATTCTCAGCTTGGTTTGGAGACTCTTAAGCAACGGTGATGGGTTTCCTCATGTGTCAGACACTCACCCGGATGACCAAAACAAATTGAAGATATTTTCGTACGATATGGTGTTGTAACTGAGTGAATGCACCCCAACAACAGGTGCCAACAAGGCAAACTATTCTCATCGTTGATCTGCCCTGAGCAAGTAAAACAATGGAGCGGGTTTAATAATAATAATAATAATAATAATCCTTACATTTGATATAGCGCTTTTCACGTCGGGAGGACGTCCCAAAGCTTAACAGGTTAAATCTCCTGTTTCTCTGCTATCTCTCATCTTATTGAGCTCATAAAATCACCAGAAACAATAAATGTTATATAATAATTGCTGTCCTGAGCTAATGCACGCTGGCATTTGTTAAGCTGCTAAAGCAGCTCCCATTGCTGGTTTTGGTATTTTTCACAGTTAGTTTCCAAATGTACGTTTAGAATTCATTTCCTATTACTGTATGTTCACTGCACCTATTTTATTGGCTTACTTTTTAAGTTATAGTCAGGGTATATCCAATTATTCCATTTACTAAAGCATATTTTACAACAATTTTCCATCCTAACCATTTTCTTTCTGAAGTGTAAATCTTGCATTTCTATAATTTTCCTGCACCGTTAGTCCCAACATACAGCAGCAATCCACGACTGTGTGCATTTGGCTGCCGCGTTTCGCCCACAAAATATACAATCAATTCACTTTACACTATATTCTATGAAGAGCTTTGAGACATCTTGAAGATGTGATAAGGTGCTGTATCAAATGCAAGGATTATTATTGTTATTATTATAATAATTACGCTGTATTATTCGGGTTTCCATGCTGCTCACACATCCTCCTCAACCTCTCTGCTGCCTTTGACACTGTGGACCACTCTATCCTCCTCCACCACCTCTCCTCTCACCTCAACCTTCAAGGTTGTGTCTTTGAATGGTTCGGGTCTTATCTCTCACACCGTTTCCAATTTGTCTCCAACAACAATTTGCCTTTCAGTCTGACGTGGTGTTCCTCAGGGCTCTGTCCTGGGTCCTCCTCTTCAACCTCTCCATTTTCCCCCTTGGTGACATCATCCATAGACATGGAGTCAACCTCCACACGTACGTGGATGCCACCCAACTCTATCTCTCTGCCTCCACCTTCGATTCCTGGACAACTGATGTCCTGACAGAACGTCTGTCTGACATCAAGTCCTGGATGAGAGCCAAATTTCTACAGCTGAATGTCAGCAAGACTGAGGCTTTCCTGATTGGCTCGCACCAGAGGCACTGGCAGGATTAGCATCCAGGGTTGCATACTGCACCTCACCAAGCCAGTCAGGAACCTGGGCATCTTGTTCGACCCTCAACTGTCTCCCCCATATCCGAGCCATGACCCGCTCTGCCTTCCCCCACCTCCGCAACATTGCTCGACTCCGTCACTGTCTCACCCCTCAGGCCGCTCTGGCCTGCTTCAGGTATCCCACCTGACCCATCCTACCATTGGTGGCTGGGCTTTCAGCCTCTCTGCCCCCACCCTTTGGAACTCCATCCCACAATCCCTTCGCCTCGCTCCCTCGCCTCCTTCAAGGCACGATTCAAGACCTTCCTTTTCGATCGGGACTTCATCCGCCCTCCTACCCCCTCTGAACTGGTCACAAACAACAACAATTTGCATTTATGTAGCGTCCTTCATGCAGGGCAGTGTCTTGGAGCATTTAACAGTGACGGAGCACGACACTGAACTGGGGAAGGGAGGAGGTGATTGTAAACGCTCTGAGACACTACCCTGAGTGCACGTTGTTGTTGTTGTTAAGCACGGTTGAAGCGGAAGATCTTTCCCTAAAAAAGGGGTCAAGGTGGAGAGATTCAGGGAGAGAGTTCGAACGTTTCGGGGCGTAGCGGCTAAAAACGCAGCCATTGATGATGGAGCTGTTGATGACTGTGGATGTTGGATCCATTCACATTTTTAAGACTGAGGTGGACAGATATTTGTTAGGTCAGGGGATCAAGCGAGATGGAGTAGGGGTGGGTAATGGGAGTTGAGGTACAGATCAGCCATGTTCTTAAAGAATCATAGAACAGGCTTGAAGGGTTGAATGGCCTCCTCCTCTTCCTATATTCGTATGAGCGGAAGAGACGAGGGACAAGCAGGAGGCCGTAGCCAGCTGAGCGGAAGCGGCAGGGGGTAGAATGTGGAGTAAGCAGGTCGGAGAGGTTGGGAGATGTCATGGCGTGAAGGGATTTGTAGACGAGTGTGAGGACAGATTGAAGACTTTAAACTGGAAATCTTTGTGGAGTGCATTTGACTTCCTCTCTCTCTCTCTCTCTCTCTCTTGTTCCACAAGGTTTTCTCCTACGTGTGAGAGCAGTGGAGATGGTGGGTACCGATGTACCAGTTGTGCCCCTGGCTACACCGGGCAGTACTGTGAAAGGTAAGTACTGTGCCTGTGTGTAGGAAGCCATGCAGTCACGCAGGGAGTGATTTAAGTGACGACACAACAAGCCTGCAGCAATGTTCTTCCCCCGTCCCATTGCATTGCCCTGTCTACCTTTACGCCATGTATTTTGACGCAATTTGAAAAGAGAAGGGAGTGCCTCTCCCCCAGTGACCTGGCCAACACATCTACAAAATAACATTGGTCACTCACCTCATGGCTGTTTGTGAGACACTGTGTGTGCAATTGGCTGCTGTGTTTCACCCACAAAATACACAGTCAAACCACTTCACAACATATCCTGTGAAGCGCTTTGAGATGTCTCGAGAACCCCTATCAAATTCAAGGATTATTATTATTATTTTAAATATAAGTTAGTTTATTTGCAGGCCTTTTTCAGTTGAGTCACGTATTTATTTCTCCAATTACATTAAGGTGGACCATAAAGAATAGGTCAGGAAAACACCATTTTCCCAATCTTCCTTCGAGTCCCATTCACCTACCATTTTGATCCATATACCTCAGAGATTGACTGCTGCAGTCTGGTCTGTCAAGTTGTCCACCAGGTCTTCTAGAAATAAAGACAAACTTCAAAGTAAAGCTTCAACACACATCATTGTTCCTTTAGTTTCGCCCACAGTCTATTCTGTAAAGCTTTTTGAGACATCTCAACAACGTGACAAGTTGCTGTATCAAATGCAAGGATTATTATTATCATTATTATTATTTCCTAATTTCCCTTTTCTGAGGATTTCATATTTTCGTGTTTATTCCAGCTGTGCTCCTGGTTACACCGGAAACCCGAACATCCCAGGGCAGAAGTGTCTTCCATTTGGTACGTTGGTGTTCGGGGTGGGAGCAGATGTTATCTGTGAGAGCCAGTTGACCAGCCTTCTCATCCTGACTCACTAAACGTCTCATTGTTGCTCCTCTGTCAGATCGTATTCCTTTGCTGATCCGTGTTGTCCCAGAGAGAGTGACAGTTTCTCGTGGAGACCGGGTACAACTCAAATGCCAGGTGTCTGGCCAGGGTCCGTACCGTTACTCCTGGACAAGAGCTGATGGGCGGCCCTTATCAAGGCGCGTGATTCAAAGAAACCGAGGTAATCCTGCAGGGAACACGTGGTGCGGAGCTCGTGCCTCCCTCACCTCCTTTGTTTTAGGGATGAATTTGATCTCCACCAAACGGTGTGAATATTGTACACGGTTTTGTGAGCTGTACGTTGATTATCTCGCCAATCTTGGGCTCTATGAAGTTGGTGTGTTTTGGGCCACAAAATATAGTCATCTCACTCTGTGCAGCGCTTTGAGACATCACAACAACTTGATAAGGCGTTATATCAAGTGCAAGGATTATTATTATTATAAGTATTTGTTATTTTACATCGTTCAGACCCAAGAGCGGGATATATGTGTGTCAGTGACGAGTAGCATCGAATAATTGCTTTGATATTTTAGGGGAAGAGTTGTTCATCCAGGAGATTGAACCCTCTGATGCTGGAGTTTACCTGTGCGTCTGTCGCAATGCTCAAAGCACCAATACAAGCCGGGCTGAAGTGGTTGTTAGTGGTGAGTGACTTACAGAATAAAACGCTGGAGTTTTACATTGAATGTGAAGGAGCCCAGAGTGGCGGAATGGTTAAATTGTAAATCTTTTTGAAACTGTGCCCCGTCAATGTTAAGTCACAAAATAATTCAATTTTTTCATCACCAGGGTTATTGAAACCAGTATTTTTCACAGCGAGTGTTTGGGAGAGGCAGTTAGCGTTATCTGAACTGTACAAAACATAAAGGTCTTTGAACATAAAGTGAGATCGAGATTTGCTTTATTCCAGAATTCAAAATGGTGCTTTTTACAAATCGCAAAAGTGTTGCTAGATGTTAAATAAATGGAGCTCAGGCTATTGAGCTCCCACTACCAGAGCCCTCTATAAACTTCTACTAAACTCCCCTTCCTGTCTTTGAGATGAAAAGGTAAGCCCCCTCCCCCCCTAATGCATGGGTATCGGGTAAAGATAGAACCAGCACAAGGCAGAGGGTCTACCCTGGTTGAACAGCCTGTCAGATCTCACGTGATTAATGATATCACCCAATACCAGGGAAAAGTCGAAAGGCAGAGGGGAGAACGACTGGCAGGAAAAAAACAATCCTTTCTGTTGAGCTAACTGTTTGTCCTCGTCCATTCGCACTGTGATGTATATATATCTGCCTCTTTGCTCACAGTCCCCCCTTTCAAGGCCATAACTGTGACTGTAGAGGAACCAAAGATACAAACAGTGAGACCTGGCGTTACCATCAATTTTATCTGCACAGCGAAGAGTCAGGTGAGTAATACTGACCCTCAGCCTCACACGCCAACAAATACTCTGTTTGTGATTTCATGTTTAACTTGATACAGTAAAGTGCTCATAAGTCTGATCTCTATATATCTCTATACCTTGGACAAGTGTCCTTACTCCACCCGCCTGATAATGATTCCTCAAGAAAAAAGCAATAATAATTGGTCGCTCAAATCCACCACTGTTTGTGGGACGCTGCTGTGGGCAATTGGCTGCCACGTTTCGCCCACAAAATACACAGTAAATTCACGTTACAGTATATTCTGCGAAGCACTTTAAGATGTCGCAAAGACGTGATAACAACAACATAATTACATTTGGAAAGTGCCTTTCACGTCGGGAGGACATCCCAAGCCGCTGGACAGACAGAGTTACGGACTCTATAAGGCGGTGTATCCAATGCAAGGATTGTTATTTATTATGTTGCATCAATGCTCGCCTGATGACCTTGCTATTCTGTCTCTAGTCTCCGGCTTACACCCTGGTGTGGACGCGGCAGCTCGGAGGAAAGCTTCCCGACACCGCAGTCGACTTCAACGGAATCCTGACCATCCGCAACGTGCGTCCCGAGGATGCGGGAGGCTACATTTGCACTGGCTCCAATATGTTTGCAATGGATGAGGGAAGTGCTGTCCTTCACGTACCAGGTTCGTGATCTGCACCATTAAATACTCATCACCCTCTTCTCCCATGGTGCATGGCTCCTGGCTGCCTGTCCTGTATCTGTGTGCTGCACTTTGCCCTGATAGCTGCTCTCCCTCACTCAGTTCCTGGCTTGCTCTCTCTCTCTATCTCTCTCTCTCCCTCTGCGCTGTGGCTGATGTGTTTCTGGTTCCTGACTCTCGCTCTCTTGCGCTGTGACTGATCCCGGCTCCTTCTCCTTGTTTCTATTGTCCACAGCAGCTCAGCGTTGCTGACGCATCTATAGCTCCGGTTTGTGTGTCTTTCTCCGTTCAACAGAATTGGTCTTTTCTGCAACATCTAAACCAATCATTAAATACACCATTAAAATAGAAATTAGGTTTTTGTTTTTAGCACGAGAGTTTGATTTTTAGGAGGCGTCTGAGGTATAGAATTGCTGTGAGACCTGAGAGGGTTCCCCCTCCCTCGATTTTACTGTTTCTGTTGACCCAGTTTCCAAGTTTATATTTCTTCTTTCACCGCACTAATGGCTACCGATCCCCCACTGAAATTCTTTACCAATGACTCCCCCGACTCACAGTGTCCCAGCCTCAGCTTGTTCCTCAGCAGAGATGCCTCTCCTGGGCCTCTGTCTAAGGTCTGGAGGTGGGATGTAATGGAGAAAGAGTGACGTTCATCACTCTAGACCCTGAATGTTTTTCTTTGCCATAATGTCCTCGTCTGACGGCTTCTATTAACGACATCATCTCCGTGGGTTACTGTTTAAGGTGTTCAGCGACAGCCTTTAACTTGCTAACCTGCCAGATTTCCCATTAATCAAACACAGTGTGGAATAGCACAGGAGTATTTACCATTTAATGGAGGCACGTAAGGATTTATTGGTTTACGACCTCGATTTTAAATATTGGCATCTGACTGGAATTAGGACGCTCTTTGAAGTTGAAGGTTGTTATTGATGTAAATTGATGCCAATTATCCATTATTACTGACAGCTATCTATGTACCACTCTCTTTCCCTAAGTAAAACATTGCAAATATTTTCATGCCAATTTCTGCATGAAGAGGCTAAACGTGTGGTTAGGTTCAATAACTTTACTTCTGGAGAAAAAGGATCACTTGAGTTACTTAATTTTAATCGTTTACTTTGCAAATTGTAAGTTGTAGATATTTTCTATACATATATTTTATTTATAGTTTGCTGTAAGGAAATTGGAGGTGTTTTATGGTACTTTTAAAGCCGTAATTAGCATTTTATAAGATGCAGTGTTGCAATGGCACATTCTTTACAAACATCTGCCCAGCAGATCAATCTGCAGTCGAGCTCTCCAGTGAAGCCCGGTCTATTTGGACGGGCTGAGATGGTTTGAAACTGTGTTCAAGCACACTTTGTGCAATTGCCATTGCATCACAACCGGTTCCAATTTGCATTACTTTTTAACAGGATTTCTCAATTTAGCATTCCTGATGATTTCTCTCACTCCAGAAGTTAGGTCACATTGGTGCAAAGTTTCCACTCGGAGTCCTTGTAGCTCAGTGGTTAGAGCACTCGCCTCGTAAATGAGAGAACCTGGGTTTGATTCCCGGGCAGGGCGAAACCTTATGAAGTTTCCTTACTCCACCCGCATGCCTCTGTTTACCTAGCAGTAAGTAGGAACACGGTTGTTCATTGATTGACAGATCACTTTCCAGGGGTGATAATGCCTTCAAAGACATTTTTTTTTAAAATAACGTAATTTATTGTTGTCGAGTTCTGGACACTGAAAGGGGTTCCCCTTGTTTGCACGATTCGAATCCCTTATCAAAAATGCCATTAAGATTAAATGAAACCCTAATAAATAACCCTTAGTAATAGATGAAGAGATTGTGAAGAGCTGAACAGAATGCTTCAAAGTTCCAACGAGTGCCTTGATAATCTTCCTCTTCTCCATCGATCTAATTGGAGCTCCTCAGATTAAGATATTTCTGTGCCCACAGTGTCCTTGACAAAACTCCAGGGTCAATGTTAGAAACATCTCTTACTAGCTTTTTTTGAACCAGCTCCTTATTTGGAAATCCAAGGATGCCATTATAATAACAATAATAATAATAATAATAATAATTCTTGCATTTGATGCAGCGCCGCATCACGTCTTCGAGACGTCTCAAAGCGCTTCGCAGAATATACTGTAAAGTGGAGTGACTGTATATTTTTGGGGCGAAAATATACAGTTGATTCAGTTATACGCGGAGTTCAGCTGGTAACAGACCCTGGCTGCCTCGGTTTCTTTTTCTTCCCTCTATGTACGTGCTGGCCTCCTGTTGGGTGTTGGTCTTGTTCTTGGTGTTCTTTCTGATGGTGTGAGATTTGTTCCTTTACACTCTATTCAACCCCAGGGCAGTGGTGAGTGATGAGGTAACCAGTTTATTCTGCCGGTGCTACGAACCTTTTTTATTTGACATTTGACGTAAATATCCACCCCGCTCCCCCCACCCCTCCCTCTCATCCTCCCGAGAAGTCCCAGCCCCCAACCTGGGCTCTGAGATGTTTCAAAACACTTGGAAGTTTGTCTATATCAGAGTGTTTGTTGGTGGTGTTGTTGGTTCATTTTATTTTTAAAGAAAACTGGCCTCAATATTTCATGCATTTTGTTTAAAAAAAAAGAAAATGTACCCGATTGACTGAGTGATTAATGATGGATTGGGATGTTCTGTCTTTGCTCCATCTGAATGATTCATTCCTCTTTTGACTAGGAAATAGAATGTTTTTATATATATATATATAAAATGCCAAAGGAGACTGTATGTGTTGAAGTGATGTATTTTGTTTTGTACTTTTTGAACGAAACACGTTAAAACCAAACAGTGGAGCCCGTGCACCAAACTGGTAGCTTTTGTACCTTTTAAAGCACTGGAATAAACCTAATCAGATCAGCTCTCGCACAATACACATCCTCAGGCATTTTATAGCAATGCAGGTTTATTTAAAAAAGCTAGACTGGTATTTTGTTCTCATTTCTAACTGAAACATGTATTGCTATACATTAAGGCCATGATTGGTGAATGGCTTCATATTTACAAAGTTGTATTAGGTTAAATGTGAAAGAGACAAATGTGATCCCCCCCTAACAGGGTCACAGTTCGCTGGTGCTACTACATCATCTTGAAAGTTGTAGAATTTTCTTCGACCTTGTGTATTTTTTATCTGAAAGAAGACTATGTATACGAAATGCAGATGCTTATATCAGTTTTATTTAACTGTCCGCTTCGCGACTGATATTTTTACGCATGTACACCGAATCAATTGTATCCCCTCTGTGGAAACGAGTACATTTACTTAACAAGCGCTCCAGCAAATCTGAACGTAAAACATTCTCTCCTCCTCCCCAAAGAACATGCAGAACATGTGGTTTCACTTGCAGCTGGTGTCACAGGCATCAAATACCGTTCATTTCATTTCACAGTAAACAGTGCGAAAGGCAGGTAAACGGCAAAAAAAAAAGTTCTGATCGGGGTTTTTCTAGCGATGAAATCACCAGGCAAAGGGAAAAGGAAAGCAGGAGTCCTTTTTTGCAAGGATTGGGTCAGATTGGTGAAAATTTTAGATTATTTCAGGACAAACTTAAAAATTGGTTGTTAAACTGAGTTTCTCCAGAAAATATATCCATCACATTCTCTAATTAGCGAGTTACCCGCTTCTCAATAGAACTTTTATGGGATGTCCTCCTGACGTGAAAGACGCTATAAAATGTAATTTTGTTGTTGTTTTATTGAATGGTTTATGTTGTAAGACCCCTCGCACTTCCCAAACAGTCGTAACCTATAACATTTACTGCAGTATAACTCACAATAGTTTCCAGCGTTTAAAAACTTGCTTTGCGTATATTAGAACAGTATATAGTTCAACCTTTACATTCAGTTGATTGGAAAGAAAGGAACTGCAAAATGCACCCCAAATCTCGCCTCGTCTGCGAGCTTTTAAGTCAATCCGGCACTGCGTTACCAATTCCTGGATCCAGGAACATCATTGAATTCAGTGTCCCATTGTATTCTCGAACATTCACTACACCTGCTGCACAAGAGATGGTTAAAACCCTGTCTGAGATTCTGTACTCAGAGGACACGGGAAGACTGGGGAGATAGGAATGTAAAAGATGCACTTCTGAAAGTCTGAAGCTTACCCACAGGCTACAGCAGGTCTGTAGATACCCACATCTCCCTGAGCTGATTCTTGACCAATTCTTGACCATTTTCAGCTCGTGCAAACACGCGTGTTCCAGTACTGAGGCTACTCAAACTTCTGGATAGGTTTAATATTACAGTCATGAAACATCGCTCTAAAAGTATTTCAACCAAAAATAAATGTTACCAGCTTTGCCTGTTATCTCCCTGTCATCGCTTTAAACCTATTTTCTCTTCCTCCCTATTCTCTTTGTACGTCAGTTTTGTATTTCCTTTACTCTTTGTTCCCCCTGAATGTTACTTAGCTTTATTTTTCTCTCGCTCTTGATGTCCAGTTTGGAATTGTGGCCACAGCGTTTTAAAAGTATTTTTATTGCTCAGAAACAGTGCAGCTGTATCCAGCTGACAGCCAGTGAGTGAGTGATTGATTGAAGCTGCTTTGTAGATGGATCTTTGCTAATCTCTGGACATCATCTTCGCATCTGAGATAGGAAGTGGGGTCATGGATGAGCAAGATCAATAGTTGTTTCCCCCCCAAAACTAACCCAGAAATGCTCAGACTGGTGACCTCACCCGAGGGCTCTCACGGTTCGGGATTTATTGATTGTTGTCCAGTCGGATAGTCTTCAAAACACAGCAGATCACAGTTACAGCTGTCAAAAGTAGCATCACTACCTGAACCTTTTGAGACTCACAGCAGCAGCTTGTATTGATTATCGCACCAGTTCATATAAAGCAACATCTTTTAGTAGTACAATAACCATTTGCCATCTTTTTGAAATAATTAGGATTTTTTTTGTGCTGCGATTAGATGAGGGTTAAGTTCAGACCTCAGTAAAACATACAGTAAAACCACCTGTCCTGATTTGCCCAAGGTCTCTGATTCATGAGCATAAAACTGATGTTCAATCAGTATTTGACGTTGCACTATGTTCGATGATCTAAAATTTTGAAATAAATTGCTGGAACAAAAGTGATTCTTCCTATCAACCTCCTAACAATATGACCTTCAGCTAAGATAACACAAACCCACACCCAATACCAATCTGATTATTTCTATGCCATCTCACTGAGAGCTTCGTACAATCCAGTTCGACCACAAAGTATCCCAACAACTTCTCTGCTTTCAGTTACATAACTCAGCACTGACTAGACCTGTCATGTTGGGAATTTTAATGCTCTAAATGGATTTGTTCCTGGTTGTTTGGAGATGGAAATCTAACAGCAGTAAAGGACAGTAAATACACATTTGAGATTGTTATCATGGAGCAATTTGTTTCAGGACGAGACCTGATCAAACACACACTTTGTCATTGTTCAGGAACATTACAGGTTTGGACCAGACAATGACAGACAGACTTGAAGTGAGTCTTATCTCGCAGACTACCTGCAGGTTTAGGATTATACACGGGTTGTCAGCTTGTAGTCACTGCTGTGAAAATAAAACAGATTATTGCTTGACGTCGCGTTTAAACATTTCATCTTAAATTGTGCAAAAATACAATTGTTTGCCAACACAAATCAAATCAGTAATTTTCTACTTTGAAGCTTTCCAAGTCAATGCTTATTATTATAGAAACGAGACATTTAAGAGCTTGTTTGCTCAGCCCACTAAAGAAACATTTACAAGATCACTAGTTCGAGATTCCGAAGGCTTATAACTAATGCTGCCGTCAATGTGCTCCCAGTGTACTCACAGTGCACTGCCTGGGTGGACACGTGTAGAACCACTTGTTTTCTAATTCTGGAGATGGAGGTTTAAGGTCCAGCATTGACACATTAGGGATGTGCCTGTCAGATCATTAGGGATCACTGCTGAGAGAATACAGCTTGGCCTTTATCCTGGTTCCCCAAGAGCAGCAGGACAGACAAAGGCAATTCACTGAGAAATAGCAGGACACAAACTCAATCCCTCTGATCAGGATGTGAGAGGAATGATTTAATGAATATTTGGGAACGAATTGGTGGTTGGAAAGATTTCCTTTTGTCAGAGAAGATTTATTCCAATTGCTTGAGCAGAGTCCGGCGGGTGTTACCAGATGCTTTATTGTAGATTGAGAATTCTGCACAGCTCAAACCAGCTCACATCGCCAAGCTGTAACCACGTTACTGTGGGATGATCACACTGTTTGGGAGGAGGGGGCGTGAAGACTGTGCGCAAATCTCCACAGATGTCAGCAGCTGAAGCACTTTTAAGAAGTATTGTTGGGAATCTTCTGCAGATGTTTAGGAGGTGAGGCCCTGGGTATTTCAGAGCAGTTCTTTCAGCAACGCCAAAGACAGTGGTCAATACTTTACACTAGTGCCCTTTCAACCACTGAAACCAGCTACTTTTCAATCGTATAATTGTAACTGTTTCAAATCATATTTATTCCAGAATTGCAGCTAATTCTCTGCATGTGTCTTTGCTGTTTACCACGAAGCTTGTGGAAACAGTCTTCGTGTTCTGTTGGTCAGAATTGTTTGCTCGCAAGCAGGAATTTCCTCATGGTGCTATTAGCTGCAGATATTCCAGGTGTTTAAGTGACCACGTGATTGAGCTGCAATCACTTCTCTTTCTTTCCACCATTGTAGATGGTGAAACCGGTAAAGAAGCCATGTAAATCTGTTCATTGTATTCTGTACAGAAGTAAAGCTTTTGCATTTGCATATACTAACAAGCATGTGTGTGCCTTGGCATTCTTTTCACATATCATTACACACCTGACCCTCCATACCTCCACTGTGTGTATTATTGCTTCGGGGTTTGCTCAGGGCAGACACTTAGCCACATTGGCAGAGTCTCCATGGAGAAACTCCATTGTCCACGTGGCTTGGACTGTGAGTTTGAGTTGCCTGGACACTGGCTCCGGACTCCACGGGATTGCAGTCATCTCAGAGTCAGGGAACACAAGAGGTTTAAAGGGAATCATCCACAGTCCTTTGTGGGTAAGTTACTAAAAGATAGCAGGGTGATGAGCAACCTCATATTACTGAGTCCTCTAACATTGGGTGTAAGGGGTCCACTAGATTATAACCAAAGCACAAATCACAGAAATGATAAGATAACAGCGGAGCTTTATATTTTGTACAATTCTTTCTCGTTCGTAAACGCAGCGTACAAATGTGGTGATCAAAAGCGGGGTGTGGACCCTTTAAGCAACCCCGAACCTAGGAAACCCGGGTGTTTATATTTGCCCCGTGGCGTTGGTTTGATCTTCGAAGATAATTCACCAAATATCTTACAAGAATCCTTTTGCAAAGTCTCAAAAGATTTCGCCAGTTGTTCCAGTTTCTGCATAATCATTGGTGTCCAATCAGTTCTACTCTTGCCATGTATTGCTGTTCATTGTATTGATGCTGACGACTGTTACTTGGGTCAAAGCCTCCAGAAAGTGGGGGGGGTTTCACTGGCTTCATGAAGCACTTCTGATGTGTTTGGTTTCTCATGTGTGTAGACTTGCACAGACGCTCCCAACGAGCTTTGCTGATGAAGGTAGCGGCTGATGCTGTAACATTGCCTGATACATTGCTTCCTGCTCCAGAGAGACCTTGCGGTGTTGCTCCATATAAACCACAGGATTCTCCCAGAGAGAGCAGAGAGTTAAGCACTCCCTCAACTCCCATTGTGGTTATTATCATTGACTTCAGTAGCTATATAACATTAAACCTGATCTTTTATGACCCTAAACCTTCAGCCTGTACAGAGACTGATTGTCGGAGTTCCATGTTATGCGGCACGTTGCCTTGCAGTGAATCACAGAGAAAATCAGGGTGAATCGCTACAGATTCACCACAAAGGCTAGCGGCAATCCAGAACTCTCTCTCTCCCCCTAAAGGCTTTGGATTCTGGGTCCATTCACATGTTCAAGACTGAGGTGGATAGTATTTTGTTAGGTCAGGGGATCAAGGACTATGGAGCAAAGGTGGGTAAATAGAGTTGATGTACAGAACAGCCATGATCTAATAGAATGACGGGACAGGCTCGAGGGGCTGAATGGGCTACTCCTGTTCCTATGTTCCTAAATTGCGCATGTGTGACAAAGACGTCTGTTATCAAATTCCCTGTGTGTGAGAAAGACAATATTAATCAAATTCAGGTAAGGATTTTCAGATATTGGATATCTGCGCGATAATGTGATACAGGTATTGGATACACAGTGATCATACTCTTCCATTTGGCTGCATGGCCTTCATTTTCAGTTGTTTTGGACTCTGTGTGTCCTCAAATACTGTTGTGAATGCTCATTTTCTAGATGTTTAATCTGACATGTTAACTCCACAGCCACAGCACAGGTCCGTTATCAGGCATTTGAGACTCTGGAAGGCCACAGACTATGTAAGTGGGCATGGCGTCATGTTGATGCATCACATATTGCTGGAATCTTCCTCTCACTTTTCTCTCACTTAATTACGCTTTTTTTTTCTCTCCAGTATCCGTTTAAAGAGATCTCCCAATGTTGGTGCACACTCTGCAGCAGTAAAGCGGGTGTTTTAGCTCTGTGTCACAACCATGTGCTGCCAGTGAGATATCTGCTGCTTCGTTCAGTGTGAAGTTACAAAAACAAAGTTAGAAAAACTGTACGGTCACTGTTTGACATTCTCCACAACCCTCTCACCTAAACAATAGATAAAGAGAGACCAGTGAGTCACTAATTGAGATGTGACCGTCTGTTAATGCTGCACAAAAGCTATTTGCTACTAATAATTCCTTTTGAGTTTGCACAAGAGAGAACTGTTAAATATTCAGGTCAAAATCTATATACTGTACCAGCAAAACCTGTGAGTTCATAAAATAAATAATTGTTCATCAGTGCTTAATTCCCAGCTCTTATACAGAATGCAAACAGCGTTCCGACACAACAGGTTGATCCGGCTGTATCCAATCTCACTACACAGTGTTTTAGAAAGAAAAAAAATGTTGTCTCCATTTCTCTATGAAAGTGGAGCTGGTCTGGGCATTTTTCTTCTTGAAACATTAACAATGCAGTCTGCTTTGACATGGAGTGTGTGCATCAACATTGGTCCTCAAACCATTGAGCTCTTTTGAGTTGAATTTATTCCGCACGCAATGTCTTTGGGAATGATGGGTTAAATGTGCATGCAGGGCAGAACTGGACACTGGTCTCGCCATCTTTCTCCTGACAAAACCACTCTGTGCATGACCTGAATCACCTTCTTCAGTATCAGACCAGCATGGCGTGTGTCTCTTGTGTTTTTACAGACCTGATTCTTACCTGCTTTATTATGGAATGATGGCAAATTCGAAATTGCGCCCTGTATCTTAGTCGCTGACCATAACATAATCTCGATCAGAAATTATAAGGCAAGATTATAAGGGGTGGAAAATGTAATGATTTATAAAAGAGTTGACGTAATAATTATCACCCACTGTTACAGAACCTTGGTTGGGACTAAACCAGTAAAGGAAAGGTTAGCTTTCCCCAACTTATGATCAGCTATTATCACATCCCATCTTTAGGAATCATCCAATGTTTCACCTCATATTTTTCTTTTTATTTGCCATCTTTGAGGGTACAGTCGGTTGATGGTTTGAGGTGTGATTTCCTGAGTGCCCTAAGTCAGCTCTTTGTTTCCTGGCAAAGTGCCCAGATAGTGTATCCTGGCTGGCTTTTCATCTGTGAGAGGCATCACAGCCAATCTTCGTCCTGTTGATGAACTGTGCCCACACATTTGCATTTGCAACAGAAATTGCTAGATAACAAAGCAGGTTTGCAAATCCACAGCTTAGTTTTCTCTTCCTACTTTCTGCACAAAGCAACCTGTCCATTCCTTCCGCTCGGCCGGCTCAGGCCTGCTCCACATCTCCCGCCCTGCTCATCCCATCGTCGGTGGTCAGGCCTTCAGCCATTCTGCTCCCACCCTTTGGAACTCCATCCCACATTCGTTTCACCTCCCTCCCTCCCTTGCCTCCTTCAAGGCCCATCTCATGACCCTCCTCTTTGACCGCACCTTCAATTACCCTCCTACCCCTACCCTCTCTGCCCTCCATTTCTCCTGATCCCAACCCCCACTTCAGGTCCAATCCCTGATCCTCCCAATGTGAAAGGCGCTGTGTAAATGTAACATGTTGTTGTTGCTCATTCTGGCCTTGCTCGGATCACATGAAACAGAAACTGAAGTGAACAAATTCCTGGACATTCAGGTCACCCCACAAGACAAGAATCACCAACTAAACCACCACTCAGTAATCATTATTGGCTTACAACTAATGCACTGCAATTATTGAACCCACAGGAATGGATATTGCTGATGTATACATTCTTCCTGCCACCAATCTGTTTTTCTGTGTCTATGAAAGCGTTCCATTAAGCCTTGAATGGATAATTTCAGATTTCCATTTGCAAAAGGGTTATGCGAGTGCTTCATGTCCAAGGTCCAAGCTAACATTTAACCATGTCTCTTTGTTAAAGATCATGTTGAACAAGACAGCTGTGTATCACTATGTCTTGTAACCAAGAACTGATCTTTGCATGAATGATGAGCTGGAATCTCTTGAGTGAAAAACTAACAGCTTTAAGATTCAGCAGCAATTTCCCCTTGTAAAAGCGTCTAAGACCAGCCCATCCAGGTAGTAAAACTACAATGGCCCAGTGATAGTCAATCACTAACGGCTTTTGCTTAGGTATTGTTAAACATCTAAGCCCGAAGGATCAAGGATGCATTTTATTTATGGGATAAATAAGAAAATCCTAGGGTACCTAATCATTAGCTTTCACTTGGCTGCTAATTTCCCAGAGAAGTTGGCCTGGAAATGATGGATTTGATGTAAGGAGGAACACTTCTGAGGTTTGTGATGTTAAACCAATTCACTGAGAGGTGATGTCGGGAAAATCACACGTTATGGTGTCATTTTCTGGCTGTTTTTTTCCTCTGCTGAACGGGGATGGTCTGTGCAAGAGGACAGGACTGAGCCACCAACAGCTAGAAACCACAAAACTTCTCCAGAGACAACACTTTACACTCACCATTGGACCAGCTGGCTCCAGAGGGCAGTTGTGCAGTTATTAGTAGCCGTCAGAGGCAATGCTGTCAAGTAAAGTAGACACAGTTGCTCGATTGTAGAGACTAGAGTTGGTTTGACTTGAATCATGACCCAGATCCTAAACTTATTGCTGGCACTGACTGTAGAATGGAAAATTGTTACTCATTCATTTATATCTCGTTCGTTTCAACTCAACGAACCAACGAATAATGTACCATCCACATTGTGGTTCCGAGTCCACGGAGCTCGGTTCTGTCACCGCCCGAAAGCTGGGAGTCAAAGGGCGTTGTGCGGGTTGCTCTCTGTACACAGTTGTTTAGTTCAGCGACGGGAGGCATGTGTCTGTGGAACGAACGTTTTCTGCGTTGGTGAACAAGAGGCTGGGTAACGTTCAGGTAAAATCAGGGGTTTGCAAAGGTACTTACTGCGATGTGGAATAAAATGCTTTTCATCGATGTCTATTTGCCTTGTCGTAGCTACAGCCCCATCGGCTCCTGTGGCTGCGATAGAGCCCCAGATCCTTACCGTCAAACAGGGACAGACGGCAGAACTACGCTGCACTGCCACTGGCAACCCACCTCCAACCCTGCAATGGTCCGGTACGTGACTCCTCTGGTTCACTTACGATGTTACTGTCATGAGCGACGCGGGGAAGGGTTGTCAGTAAGTTGAATTGAAACCTCCTGTTTTGCGCATCGACCCATCATCTCTGGTGCTTCTTCCTCCGGCTCTCTTTCAGGAGGCCAAGGGAGCGTCATCTCACCAAATGCAGTCGTTCGGGGTGGGCTGCTTCGAATCGCCGCCGTGGAACGCTCTGACGAGGCGGTGTATTTCTGCCAGGCTCGGAACACTGCTGGGGAACATACCGCCAGGACCATCATCTACGTGCAAAGTACGCAGCGACCTTCAACTTCATTCCAAACCTATTGTCTGCACAGGGTGTAGTGTCACCAGTAAAGGCACTTGGGTTAGATTGAGCTTCACTGGTTTATCAGTTGAACTAAGTGACAGATCAGTGACAAAGGCACAAAATACTCAGTAGCCATTAGGCAGGGGAACGGTCAATTCAGCTTATCTCCTCCGCCCCCCCACCCTGGTGATAGCTGAGCCAGGATACAGCACTCTGGACGTGAGGGCTTAGACCCAAAACCTTCTGACTCGGAGGCGAGAGCGCTACCACTGAGCCAGAGTGACGGTCACAGTGACCTGGATTTCCAAACGTATTATATATATTATTGTGCTCTCTCTCTCTCTCTCTCTCTGCAGGCAATGGTAACCTGCCCCAGGTGCAGGTCAGCCCCCAGCAGATAGATGTGTACGAGGGCGAAACTGTTCGTCTGTACTGCCGGGCAGGAGGCCATCCTACTCCAATGCTGTCCTGGAAGAAACTGGGAGGAGTATTACCAGCGCAGGTACTGATCTCCATCACGTTGTGTTGCTCCATCAGCAACACGGTAACGGGGAATGGCACAGAAGGCCAATACACTAACTTTCTGTATTTAGTGAGATGTCAGTGGGGAGATACAGACAGAGATGCCCTGACCCCCGGGGTATTCTGGTGCCACGCGAGGATGGTTACCGACACTAAACTGCTGAACCAAACTGACAAAAGCAGATGCCGTGGGTTCGGGGAGGGACGCAATCTTCCAGCTTTGGGATGAATCGATCCAACAACCAGATTGGAATAAAAATAATTCTCTCTGAACCCTCCATGAGAGCTGAGCCTCCTGACCTCGTGTTGACGGTGTATCTAAAGTGGTTAAGAATTAACCAATTACAATTTGCAGAGTGTGGCAGGAAGGTGGTGGTGGTGGTGGATGGGGGAGGGTCAGTTGTGATCTGGGGAAGATGAGAAGATGTTGATGGTATTAAAGATTGGTGAGTGTTCCCCATTTCCCAGCCTTACCTTCAACGTGAATTTTAACAGGTAGGACCATCAGTACAAGACTTTCTGATCACACCCTCCGACTCCCCACTGCAGGGATAATGAAACCTATTGGAATAGTCAATCTGTACAGACCAGGCTTGTTATGTCTAATTTAAGTACCACGTCACAAGGCAGTTATCCTCCCGTGCCCCACCCTCACACCCCCATAAGACACACACACATATATACACATACCCACACCCCCACACACAATTCTGGAGCCCGAAGTAAATTCTTCCCAAATTGCAACTTTACTAAACGCCGAAAACTTTCAAGTCCTGATGTATTTTTGCTTGAAATTCTGGCGTATTAAGGCCTTTGGTGGCAATCCCTTCACTGTCCAGCGCCTTGGGACGTCCTCCCGACGCGAAAGGCGCTGTATAAATGCAATTTGTTGTTGTTGTTGCTCTTCTGTCTTACACACTCCAAACTAGAGATGAAGAGAAGAGTTCCTGCCATTGACCTGCTTAATGGAAGTCAAGAGCGTTGAAGGGGAATTGTGTCTCTGCTTTACCTGCTCTCTCTCTCTCTCTCTCTCTCGCCATTGCTCACCAATCTCTCTCTTCTCTCCTGTCTGTCCAGGCTATGAATTTATTTGGTTTCCTTCACATGGGGAACGGCCACAATGACGAGGTTTCACGGAAGCGTATTTGGGAGCTGCAGGTAGCTGCGTGGACCTTACTGAGCGGCCACAGCACTCCAGCCCCCCCCACCCCACATGCTGACCATCCCCCCCACACATACCCCCCACACACTGACCATCTCCCCACACACACACACACACTCCCCACACACTGACCATCTCCCCACACACTGACCATCTCCCCACACACTGACCATCTCCCCACACACACACACTCCCCACACACTGACCATCTCCCCACACACTGACCATCTCCCCACACACTGACCATCTCCCCACACACTGACCATCTCCCCACACACTGACCATCTCCCCACACACACACACTCCCCACACACACACACTCCCCACACACTGACCATCTCCCCACACACTGACCATCTCCCCACACACACACACACTCCCCACACACTGACCATCTCCCCACACACTGACCATCTCCCCACACACTGACCATCTCCCCACACACACACACTCCCCACACACTGACCATCTCCCCACACACTGACCATCTCCCCACACACTGACCATCTCCCCACACACTGACCATCTCCCCACACACTGACCATCCCCCCCACACACACACTCCCCACACACTGACCATCTCCCCACACACAACCCCCACACAAACACCCCCTCACACACCCCACACACTGACCATCTCTCCCCACACACACACACCCCCCACACACACCCCCCACACACACTGACCATGTTGTTGTGCACAAAATGCCGGCATTTACCAACAAATACACAGTCGTTACATTTAACACAATTGGCCATTTTCCGTGCTGAAAACTCTTATTTTCTTTGCTTGTTTCAGAACTAATAGAACTATTTCCTGTTGTCTGTCGAAACCTCTTTTTTTTTTCGAACTTTTAATATCATCGTCTTTTCCAGTTCGCAATTCCGTTGTGACCCGTAACTAAAATAATTTAAGATTTTACTTTTATTCGGGGGTGAAAGGGCCATGACGTTGGGTCAGCTTTTGGAAAGGATTGAATCTGCCAGATTTGGAGAGAGGGTCACAAGGGCCACAGCTCTCAATCCAAATGAGAATCAGGATCGTTTGTTTTACCAGCGACGAGAGAGAGAGAGAGAGAGAAAATGATAAAGTCCCTCGCAATAATTCTGCTGCTAATTGATGCCTTGCGTTCAGTGCTCTGTGCCAGGAAAATCAGTTGTAACTGTGGACGTTCTCCACAGATCAGCCCAGAGAAACCTTGTTGACGTGATGCTTCATTGCTCGTATATACACAGGTGCCTGTAACTCGCGATAGCAGTCAAGAGCTTTTGAGAAATGCTCTTTATGTGAACAGCTCTGCACACTGCCAAACGGCGACTGTTTGTTTGGCGCACTCGAGTCTGGAATTGTTGAGACTTACAGATGTGGAAAGCAAACAAACAAAACCGGGAGAGAAATTAAAATATCCAGTGTTTATATTTCTCATCCCTTTCATGTCACAGCGCTGTTTAACATGATGTGTTAGCGGAACCATTGGCTAGTACACGAGCTCCCTCCGGTGACTGGTGGGGGGAACCTCAGCTTAAACAGCAGGTTTCCTCACTAAATAAGAGTGAAAAAACAACATTCAATGTCATTTATTGTCAGAAAATCCAACTTGTCTGCGAAACTAGCCTTTCCCCTCATTGTGGCTGTGCCAGGAACCACTGCATTTCACAGCAATTACTCATGAAGCTCTTTGAGAGGTTTTGAAGTAATAAGGTACAATAAAATGCAAGTATTATTGTAGCTCCAGATTGTAAAAGAAACTGGGCAGCTCATATCCATGTTTGCACAGCGTTGCCATTGATCATGTAGTGACTAGCAGAGGTTTGGCTCCAGAAATGCAAGCCTGCAGTACATCGTCAGTCCACGTATGGCTCAGGGAGGAAAGTGTCTCCCTAGCCCCTGGATGTAGGTTGTACACTTTCCTACCTTTCCCCTCGTGGATACCTGCAGCTCAGAGGTTAGAGAGCTCGCCTCGCAAGCGAGAGGACCTGGGTTCCACTCCCAGGCAGGGCGAAACCTTAGGCAAGTTTCCCTACTCCGCAGGTCTCTGCTTACCCAGCATTAAGTAGGAACCCGGTTATTAGTTGACTTTCTGGGCTAATAATCCCCTAAAAAAAAAGGCCACTCAATCCATGACTGTTTGTGGGACTGTGCGCACTTTCGCTGTCATGTTTTGCCCCCAAAATCAATCCACTTTCCAGTATATTCTGTGAAGCATTTTGAAACGTCTCAATGACGTAATAAAGGCCCTAAATCAAATGCAAGGATTATCATTTTTATTACTGAAACTGCTTTTTAACTCAATAGAACGTGGCCTTGTATGAATAATAGAGCCACGTGTGAAGGATCGGGTCGAAGTGTTTAAAATGATGAAGTGAACTGAAAAGTTCGAGTAGACAGTGGAACGTTTGCCGCTGTAACAGTCAGGGAGCCAGAGGAGGGAAGATTGCCTCAAAGCAGCGCTGGGACGGTTAGACTTGAAATCAGAAAACATTGCTTTACCGGAGGTTTGTGAAAGTGTGAAACGCGTTTGATCAAAAAGGCCGTCGATGCAGAATCAACTGAGATGTTTGAGAGGGCATTAGATCATCGGTTTATTAAGAGATATGGGGAAAAGGTGGAGGAACCGCCAAGAAACTCCCAACTGATGGGAGAATGGGGTTGATGTAAATCAGGTAACCTGAGGGTCGCTGCTGCTGTGTAACCTGTTTTGCTGTTGTTTATTTTACAGGCCAGAGCGGAGCGGACAGACATCGGGACTTTAATCATCCCGTCCATCGCTGCTGCCCACGGGGGCGTCTATCTCTGTGTCGGCTCTAACTCAGCCGGCTCCGCAGAGGGGCGTATCGAGGTCACAGTCATTACCTGTAGGTACTAGTGTCCTGGGCGATTATTGTCAAGTCCTCACCCCCACACCCACCCTCACCCTCACCCCCACCCCACCTCCAGCCTCACACCCACCCTCAAACCAACACCTCACGCCCACGCTCACCCCCTCCCTCACGCCCACCCTCACAACAACACCCACCCTCACCCCCACACCCACCCTCATGCCCACCCTCATGCCCACTCTCACCCTCACACCCACCCTCACACCGACCCTCACGCTCACCCCCACCCTCACCCCCACACTCACCCCCACACCCACCTTCACCCTCACCCTCACACCCACCCTCACCCCCAATGCGCCCTCACCCCGACACCCACCCTTACCGCCACCCTTAGCCCCACCCTCACCTCCACCCTCACGCCCACCCTTACCCCCACCCTCACCCCCAACTCCACTCTCAGCCCCACCCCCTTCCCCACCCTCACCCCCTTCCCCACTCCCACCCCACCCTCACACCCACCCTCGATTCCACTATCGCCCTCATCCCACCCTCACTCTCACCCTCACACTAACTCCACCCTCATCCCCTAGTTTGGGTATTTGTGTTGCTCACCACATGGTCTCTTTGTCCTCTCTCCCCTTCTCCATCACTCTTTCTCCCCCACCACTGCCCCTCCCTCCCTCTCTGCTCCTTCCCTCCCCCTTCTCCCCCCACCCCTTCCTTCTCTCTCCCCCCTCTCCTCTCTCACTCCTCCCTCTCATCCCCTCTTCTCCCCCCTTTCCCCCCCTCTCCCCCCCAACAGCACAAGGCAGTCCCCCCAGAGTGCGGGTTCACCCCTCTCCGGCCTCGGTAACAGAAGGAGGATCCCTGGAGCTGGTGTGCCAGGCACGGGGACAGCCTGAGCCCACCCTGACCTGGCACCGGGCGGGCAGTGCCCTCACTGCCAATCACCAGGTATGTAACCTGCTGCCACTGCGCTGTGGGCAATACTCCCAACACACACTGTGGCCAACACTCCCCAACACATGCGTGTGTGAGTGTGAGTGCGTATAAGTGAGTGTGTGAGCGAGAGATGGTGTGTGTGAGTGAGTGAGTGTGTGTGTGTGAGCGAACGAGGGTGTGTGAGTGAGCGAGAGTGTGTGAGCGAGCGAGGGTATGTGAGTGTGTGGGCGAGCGAGAGTGTGTGTGAGTGTGAGCGAGAGATGGTGTGTGTGAGTCAGTGTGAGCGAGCGAGGGTGTGTGTGTCAGCAAGCGAGGGTGTGTGAGTGTGTCAGTGAGTGAGTGTGAGCGAGCGAGGGTGTGAGTGTGTGAGCGAGCGAGGGTGTGTGTGTCAGTGAGTGAGGGTGTGTGAGTGTGTCAGTGAGCGAGAGTGAGTGTGAGTGAGCGAGGGTGTGTGTGTGTGAGCGAGCGAGAGTGTGTGTGTGTGAGCGAGCGAGGGTGTGCGAGTGTGTCAGTGAGTGAGTGTGTGAGCGAGCGAGCGAGGGTGTGTGAGTGTGTCAGTGAGTGAGTGTGAGTGTGTGAGCGAGCGAGCGAGGGTGTGTGAGTGTTTGAGCGAGCGAGGGTGTGAGTGTGTGAGCGAACGAGAGAGCGTGAGCGAGCGAGGGTGTGCGAGTGTGTGAGCGGGCGAGGGTGTGTGAGTGTGTGAGTGAACGAGAGAGCGTGAGCGAGCGAGGGTGTGCAAGTGTGTGAGCGGGCGAGGGTGTGTGAGTGTGTGAGCGAACGAGAGTGTGAGTGAGCGAGGGTGTGTGAGTGTGTGAGCGGGCGAGCGAGAGTGTGTGAGCGGGCGAGCGAGGGTGTGTGAGTGTGTGAGCGGGCGAGCGAGGGTGTGTGAGTGTGTGAGCGGGCGAGCGAGGGTGTGCGAGTGTGTGAGTGTGTCAGTGACAGTCTCTGCGCTGTGTGTGTTCCAGGTGTTGGGGTCTCGGCTGCAGATTGTAAAGGCAACAGTGGCCGACGCTGGTGACTATAGCTGTGAGGCTGAGAACTCTCTGGGGAGGGAGCGAGCGACTGTCTCGGTGTCAGTCACGTCTCTCTCAACCCGTAAGTCACCCACTCGCTCACTTTTTGTTACTAATTCTGTCCCTCAGGGGTTGTGGTGAAGTTTCTGCGGGGAGAGGTGGTGGGGGTGGTGGGGTGGGGGGGGGGGGGGGTCAAACCGAGGATCTGTCTGCGTGTCCCTTCCATTCGAGAAAGAAGTCTCTCTCTCTCTCTCTCTTTCTCCGCAGCTGAAGTTTTGGAAGTGTTATCAGGCGCTGCACCAAATGCGAGGATTATCGTTGTTGTTGTTATTGCGATCCTGAGTTGTTTTATTAACCGCAGACGGTGACGCTCGGTGTGTGGGGGATGTCAGTTAGGCAGACCCGGGGGATTGGGTACAGTTTGGGTACGTGTTACAGAGGAGAGCCACGAGCAGAGGGAGGAGCGTGCAGCAGCTCAGGCACCTGCGATACTAACACAGAGAGCACACACAGGGCACACACAGAGAGCACACACAGGGCACACACAGAGAGCACACAGGGCACACACAGGGCACACACAGAGCGCACACAGGGCACACACAGGGCACACAGGGCACACAGAGAGCACACACAGGGCACACAGAGAGCGCACACAGAGAGCACACACAGAGAGCACACACAGGGCACACAGAGAGCACACACAGGGCACACACAGAGAGCACACACAGGGCACACAGAGAGCGCACACAGAGAGCGCACACAGAGAGCACACACAGAGAGCACACACAGGGCACACACGGGGCACACAGAGACAAGTGAAGGCTGTTGTAATTACGCAGACAGAATCGGTCGGGGGTTTTCCACTGGATTTTTTGAATTAACAGAGTCCGCAGCTGTTCACAGAGATGGTAGGTTTTACGGGACATCTTTGATACATGGGCACCATTACAGGGAGAGGTGACGATGGGTGTTTAAGATGCTAAAGGGGCTTTGCCTGGGAAGCTGGAGAGAAACTATGTCCTCTGGTGGGCGGGGGAATCCAGAACAAGGCGACCATAAGCTTAAAACAAGAGCTAGGAGTGAAATCAGGCAACGTTTATTCTACACAAGTGCTAGTGGGCACTCTCTCCCCCTAAAGGCTGTGGATGTCGGGGCAATTGGAATTTTCAAGACTGGGGTGGATAGCAATTTGTTATTAAACGTGCAAAAAACCGAGGCCCTCCTGATTGGCTCACGTCAGCGCCTCCGCACCTCAGGCGCTGACACCATCAGTATCCAAGGCTGCACTCTCCACCTCTCAAAGCCAGTCAGGAACCTCGGCGTTTTGTTCGACCCTGAGCTGTCCTTTCTCCCTCACATCCGCACCACAACTGGCACCGCCTTCCATCACCTCCGGAATATCGCCAGACTACGGCACTACCTCACCCCTCACGCTGCTGAAACCCTGGTTCACGCCTCTGTCACCTCAAGGCTGGACTATGGGAACTCTCTCCTCGCCGGCCTTCCCGCCACCTCCCTCCACAAGCTGCAGGTCATTCAGAACTCTGCAGCTCGTGTACTGTCCCGCACCAGGCTTCGCGACCACATCACTCCTACCCTCGCTCGCCTCCACTGGCTCCCCATCCCCCAGAGGATTGATTTCAAGATCCTCATCCTCACCTACAAGGCCATTCACGGCCTTGCTCCCTCCTACCTCTCCAACCTACTATCCCCCTACCTACCTGCCCGTACCCTCCGTTCCTCTGGCTCCGGTCTGCTCCACGTCCCCCGCCCCAACCGCCCTACTATCGGTGGTCGGGCCTTCAGCCTCTCAGCCCCGAGGCTCTGGAACTCCATCCCCCAGTGCCTTCGCCTTGCTTCCTCCCTTTCCTCCTTCAAGGCCGGTCTCAAAACCTTTCTCTTTGACCGTGCCTTCAGCTCCCCTCTCGACTCTCTTCCTCCTCCTCGCTCCCTCCCTTCCCTCCCCTCACCCTGACCATTTCCCCCTCCTCTCTCCCTCCCTTCCCTCCCCTCACCCTGACCATTTCCCCCCTCCTCTCTCCCTCCCTTCCTTCCCTCACCCTGACCATTTCCCCCCTGCTCGGGTCATGACCCAACTGTGCAGCGCCTTGGGACGTCCTCCTGACGTGAAAGGCGCTCTATAAATGGAATCTTGTTGTTGTTGTTGTTGTTGTTGTTAGGTCAGGGGGTCAAGGGATACGGGGCAACGGCGGGTAATTGGAGTTGAGATCCTGATCATCCATGATCTTATAGAATGGCGGAACAAGTTTGAGGGGCTGAATGGCATCCTCCTGTTCCTACACTTGAGATCCTTGTTAACCGCGACACTAGGAAAGGTCTGGAGTCTCTCAGTTCCCAGAGTAGAAATGGTCCATTCGCCTCACTCTCGCCTTTCCTGTTCTCCCAGCAGCACGAGGCAGCCCCCCCAGGGTGCGGGTTCACCCCGCTCAGGCCTTCGTAACAGAAGGAGGGTCCCTGGAGCTGGCGTGCCAGGCGCAGGGACAGCCTGAGCCCACCCTGACCTGGCACCGGATGGGCAGTGCCCTCACTGCCAATCACCAGGTACGTAACCTGCTGTCACATTGAGTTCTGTTTGTCACGGAGTGTCAGGTATGGTGGAGGGTGACGACCTCACTCACTGCATTAAACCCAGCACTTGCTTTGCTCAGTTGGGTGTCTTGACAGGTATGGAAACCCATCATCATGCTCAAGCGTCTCCAGACCAAACGGAGAGTGTCTTGTCTGTCTGTGTGTCAGTGTGTGTGTCTGTGAGGGTGTCTGTGAGCATGTGTGTGTGAGCATTTGTGCGTTAGCTTTTGTGTGCGCGCGCGTCCGTGCGTGTGAGCGAGTGCATGCATGTGTGTGAGCGAGTGTGTGTGAGTGCGTGTAGGTGAGCTTGTTTGTGAGCGAGCGAGAGTGTGTGAGTGAGCGAGGGTGTGTGAGTGAGCGAGGGTGTGTGAGTGTGAGCGAGCAAGGGTGTGTGAGTGTGTGAGCGGGCGAGCGAGGGTGTGTAAGTGTGTCAGTGACAGTCTCTGCGCTGTGTGTGTTCCAGGTGTTGGGGTCTCGGCTGCAGATTGTAAAGGCAACAGTGGCCGACGCTGGTGACTATAGCTGTGAGGCTGAGAACTCGCTGGGGAGGGAGCGAGCGACTGTCTCGGTGTCAGTCACGTCTCGCTCAACCCGTAAGTCACCCACTCGCTCCGCTCAGTGTTGTCACTAATTGTCGCCTGTGTCTCTCTGTGGTCCTCCATGCTGTCAGGTTACGCTGCGACCCTTGACTCTTTCATTAGTTTCTGTGAAGGAGTTTGGAGGGCTTTGTGATCTGCTTATTTTCCATACAACAACAAATCGCTTTGCGATGTCTCAACAACGTGATAATGTCAGTTATTACACATGGCTTTTCACGTCACGAGGATGTCCTATGGCCCCCGGACAATCAGGGTTTGTACCCAATCTGTGGGTTGGAGTCGAGGGGTGGAGGGCAAGCGGGGGTGGGAGTGTGACCGAAGGTGTGCAATCGAAGAGGTAGGTCTTGAGATGTGCCACCAAGGAGGCAAGGGAGGGGGCGGAGGGGATCCTGGATGGAGTTCCAGAGGGTGGGGGCAGAAAGGCTGAAGGCCCAGCTGCCGAAGGTGGAGCGTCCAGGGCGGGGACGTGGAGCAGGCCAGTGCCCGCCAAGCCATGGCAACGGATAGGTTGGTATGGTGTTAGTAGGTTGCCGAGGTAGGAGGAGCAAGACCATGAAGGCCCTTGAAAGTAAGGGTGAGGTTCTTAAACTCAATCCTCTAGGGATGAGGAGCCAGTGGAGCCGGGCGAGGATGTGGGTGATAGGGCCACAGAGCCGAGTGCTGGAGAGGACACGAGCTGCAGAGTTCTGAATAATCTGCAGCTTGTGGAGGGAAGAGTTGGGAAGTCCAGCGAGCGGGGTTTTAGTGTAGTCCAGCGTCATCTCATCATTCCATCTCCACACATGCTGTCAATTTACAATGAAGATTGGATGTAGGTAAACATAAACGTATGAGTGTTAGATAGTTGGCTCGATGTTTATTGTCTGTGCTGAATTTCGTTGCTTTGTGTGATATAAAGTTATTTACACAAGTGAACTGTTGTTTTGGTCACTCATTAACTGTGTTTGTCTATCGTTGTCCTGCAGGGCAGCAGTCACCAATAATAAGCACCGGCCCCCAGGAAGTCACCGTCATCCAAGGCCACAATGTGTCCCTAAAGTGTGAGATTCTCGAAGGAGCTCAGCCTCTCCGCATCGAGTGGATCACACCCAGCCAACAGCCACAAGGTACTCCACAGGCTCCCAAACCATGAGGTTCTTAGTCTTTAACCTGACAATAACACGATTAAAACTATTAAAACAACTCCCTGGATGAATAAGGTAATTGGAAAATTGTCTTTAAAAAAAAAGGATGCAGCCAATGCCACAGTATCGGAGGAGAGGGGTGAGAAATTGGATAAGAGAAGAATAAACCAGGAGGAGGAACTAAAAAGTTGTCAGTGCTCAAGGTAGATAAGCCACCTGGTCCGGACGGGATGCATCCCAGGTTACTGAGGGATGTTAGGGTGGAAATAACGGAGCCTCTGGCCGCAATCCTTCAATCCTCCTTCGACACCGGGTGGTGCCAGAGGACTGGAGGGTTACAAATGTTACTCCCCTGTACAAAAAGGGGCAAAAGGATAAACCCGGGAACTACAGACCAGTCAGCCTAACGTCAGTAGTGGGGAAACTTCTAGAGGCTATATACCGGGACAAAATAAATTTTCACTTAGAAAAATATGGGTTAATAAAGGACAGCCAACACTTTCATATAAATAAATCTTTGAAGGTGGCCGGACAGGGAGATAAAGCTGTTAAAAAAGCATATGGGATACGAGGCTTTATAAATAGGGGCATAGAATACACAAATCAGGAAGTTATGATGAACCTTTATATAAAACACTGGTTAGACCTCAGCTCGAGACTGCGTTCCGTTCTGGGCACCGCACTTTAGGAAGGATGTCAAGGCATTGGAGCAAAGGAGATTGACCAGGATGGCACCAGGAATGAGGATCTTCAGTTATCAGGAGAGGTAGAGAAGTTGGGATTATTCTCCTTTGGAGCAGAGAAGGTTAAGAGGAGACTTAATAGAAGTTTTCAAAATGATGAGGGATTTGATAGGGTGAACAGGAGAAAATATTTCCACTGGCGGGCGGGTCGGTAACCGAAGGACACCGATTTAAAATAGTTGTTAAAAGAAACAGAGGGGAGGGGAGGAGAAATGTTTTCACATAGCGAGTTGTTGTGATTTGGAATGCATTGCCTGAAAGGCCGGGGGAAGCCGATTCAATAACAGCTTTTAAGAGAGAAGTAGATAATTATTTGGGGAGGACAAATTTGCAGAGCTATGGGGAGAGAGCGGGGGAGTGGGATTGATTCGGAAGCTCTTTTCAAAGAGCTGTCACAGACACGATGGGCCGAATGGCCTCCTTCTGTGGTGCATAATTCTAGGATTCTGTGAGGTGGAGTCTGTAGCGTGTTGGTTCAGTTCGCTCACCTTGCAAGCGACAGAACCTGTTTCCTTATTCTACACGCCTGTTTAGCTAGCAGTAAATCGGAACCCAGTTGTTAGTCAATTGGCGGATCGCTTTCCAGGGGTAATAATCTCTTTATTAAAAAAAAGAAGCAAAATTGGTTACTTCAATCCACGACTGATTGTGGGACGCTGCTGTGCACAATCGGCTGCCCTTTTCGCCCACAAAATACACAGTTATTACACTTTACAGTACATTCTGTGAAATAATTAGAGACGTCTTAAAGACATAAAGCGCTGTATGAAACGCAGGGATTATTAAATTAATATTATACATCTCAAAATTTCTGAGGATGTGAGATTTGAGAAAAGTCTTAAATCGAGTCTGAATCTGCGCTTCAGCTGCTGCGTTAAACGGGGTTCCAAACACGGGTTAATTGAGGTTGATGCGGAAGCTGTTTGCGAGGTGGAGTACGGTCCCCAGGACTCAGCGCTCCCTTCTCCTGTTTTTCAGACAACATAAGCATCACTGGCGCGGGCACCACCATCACAATCACCAACGTTCGCCAGACGAGCCACGGACAGTACAAGTGTGTGGCTGGCAACCGCTTCGGCCTGGCGTACAGCACCGTGACTCTGATTGTACAAGGTACGCACACACTCAACACCCTCCTCCCCCGCCCCACACATATACACTACCCTCCCACACACACACACACACACACACCACCCTTCCCTCCCACACATACACCACCCTCACACACACCACCCTTCCCCACCACCATTACCCCCACCTCCTCCCACAGACACACACCACCCCGCCACACACATCAACCTCCCCCGGACACCCACCCACATACACACCACCCTTCCCCCCACCCACACCACCCTCCACACACACACACATAAACTCCAGTGAATAGTTGCTGCTTTTCAAGTTCAAGAGACTTGTCCTCATATTTAAAGCCCTCCGCAGTCTTGCTCCTCACTCCCGCTGCGACCCATTACCAACCTGTCCGCTTCCTCCGGCACTGACTTGATCCACGTCTGTCCCCCTGCCTGTTCTACCATTAGTGGTCGGGCCTCCAGTCTTTCTGCCCCCACCCCCTGAAACTCCATCCGGAGCCCCTCTTACTCTCCCCCTCCCTTGCCTCCTTCAAGGCCCCTCTCAAGACCTTCAACCGTTTTCAACCGTACCTTCGGTCATCTTCCCTCCTCCGTCACACTTACCCTCCACCCCTCTGTGATCCTAACCCCCAGCTTGGGTGCAAATCCCTCGTTGTCCAGAACCTTGGGACGTCCTCCGGACATGAAAGGCACTGTATAATGCACTTTGTTGTTGCCATTTAGACCCGGAGAGGATTTCTGCTCTGGTAGTGCGCGCGTGTGTGTGTGTGTGGGTTGTGTGTGTTCTTTACCTGACAGTGCACTGAGCCATTGCTGTTCTGCGGTCATCATGATAGCCACGCAATCGTTATTTGCTTCATTTACCCGAGACTCCAGTCAGTGCCAGAATTGCCAATGGCTTTGGGATGTCCTCTCAATGTGAAAAGTGCTGTAGTTATTTAGTTGTTATTGTGGTCATTATAATTATATGTGATGAACACACTGGGGCTGCAGCAAGAGCCGAGCCTGAGGCTGAGCAGTGCTGTGCTCGCCATGAGGTCCTGGATTAATGAGGGATTCCTCACCAGCCCCAATCACATCCCAAGTCACTACCACTTCTGGTGCCAACTAACAGTGCTGCCCTGCCCTGCCCTGACTGGGCCCTGCCACTGCCCCCCAAACCTGCCCTGTAGCTCAGGGGTTAGAGTACTCACCTCGCAAGCGAGAGGCCTGGGTTCAATTCCCAGCAAGGTGAAATGTCATGCAAGTTTCCTTACTCCGCACGCCTCTGTTTATCTAACAATAAGTAGGAACCCGGTTGTTAGTCGATTGGTAGATCGCCTTTCCAAGGGTAATAATTCCTTCCAAAAAAATAATTTGACCACTCAATCCACGACAGTTTGTGGGGGACACTGCTGTGTGCAATTGGCTGCCGCATTTCACCCACAAAATACACAGTCAATCCACTTTACAGTATAGTCTGTGAAGCGTTTTGAGACCTCTTGAAGACTTAATAAGGCGCTGTATCAAATGCAAAGATTGCTATGATTATTTACACTTACTGTATTTTTGGGTGAGGTTCATTTTCTGTCGTCTCTTGTAGTTTGAATTTTGTTTTGTGGAATTAATGTTGTGTTTTTTCTCATTGAGAGTTTTCCTCAGAATCGCAGTGGTGGTCACATATTCATTGGTTGGATGGTTGGTTGGCTGATTGGTTGGTTGGTTGATTTTGCTGTTTGTCAATCCATCAATCTTGTGTTCTGTTCCCCAGGAGTTCCCACTGTGTCTGTTTCCCCCAGAGGGCCAGTCAGGTTGGGGGTGAGGGATTCCATCACAGTAGAATGTATAAGTAAGGCCGAGCCTCGGCCTGTGGTCAGTTGGCACCGGATTGAAGGCAGACAGAGAAAGCCTTTGGATGCACAGACAACACAGGCAGGACATTCCATTCTGAAGGTGAGTGCACTTCTAACTCCGTGCAATACGTTCTCCTCAACAGCCTTGCATCGTCAGAGCTCCATTATAACATGACTTGTTGGCATTTGGTTTTAGTTGGTTAGGCTCCAGCAGTTATCCCAACATACACTCTCGGGTCCTCAAGCGCTCGCCAACCTGCGCTTAATACTTTCCGGAATTAGGTAAGCAGAAGGCGTCCCTCCAGGAGAGAGAGCGCATTCTATTCCAACAATCTATCTCTGGGGTTTCCATGTGCAAGTGGGATTTATGGAAATCTCAGTTTGGTTTGGATACTCGTAAGCTCGGTGATGGGTTTCCTCATGTGTCAGACACCCGGCTGACACCCCCAAAAAGTGACACAACTTGGTATTAAAATAGAGGCTCGCGATAGATCCTGTCACACAGACGAGAAGATGTCCTATTGAAAGATCCCTGAGTGACAGCAAATCCCAGAATGATTTCTCCACAGCAGTGGACTAGAATTATGATTGAAACGATCATTCATAAATGCATTTAATCACTACGGGCTGTCCACAATGTCCTGTTACCCCATGCGGGTTTTTTCTGCAGCGCAGTCCATATCCACACGCACACACAATCACAATGATCCTCTGGACGGCTAAATAGAGTTAAATGCTTGTACTGAATACAATGATGTACTTCTAAATACAATTATCGTCATTCTCCCACATGTTTCAGTTGTTGGTCAATGCCCTGTGTAAAAAAACACACAAACACATGGGGTAACAGGACTTTGTGGACACCCTATATAGTAACTGGTTATTGCTGTACTTTGGTTTAGATTTCTTCTGCCCGAGTGGAGGACTCTGGGACCTATTTGTGCCAAGCGGTCAACCAGCTTGGCTCGGCGGAGTCCCGGGTGGAGGTGTTGGTGGACCTGACTCCCTCAGCTCCCACTGCCCCACAGATCACCGTGGAGGAGACCACCAGTGTCGCTACCACGGGAGGGACGACCACACTTCACTGCTCGGCCACTGGTACGTCACACAGACAACCCCCAGCCCAGCCCCACATTGGTACATTTTACTAGGATTGCTCTGCAAGAAATTGGTTTGTGAAGCCTCCTAGAGGTGAGATGCCGTAACATCCAAAAATTGAAGGAAGCCCCGAGATACGGCAGATCACTGCTAGATCTCTGAAACTCTGGAACACTCTTCCTCTGTGCCCCCCTCCTTCCCTGTCTTCAGATCGCACCTAAAGACCTTCCTCATCAACGGTGTCGACAGTCACCTCCCCCTGCACCCAGGCTCAGCGTCATGCTCTGCCACTGTCAAGTGCTCTGAGATGCCGCCCTGCTTGAGGGGCGCTGTGTAAATTCAAGTTGTTGTTGCAGTAGATCTCATTTGGGAATACAGATTGACCCAGGAGAGGTGTTAGGGTTCCTCGTCTGGTGTTTAAACTTCACCTACTTTGTCTTTCCTGAATTCTAAAATTGTGCAGAATTTCGGAAAGGTCCAGTGGTCATTTGTCCAGTTTTAAAACTTATGGACCCGAGAAGAGCATCAAATCCAAACTGGAATGAATTACATTTGTAACGTCCTGACTGTTTCTTGTCTGACTGCCTGTAGGTTACCCCACCCCCGTTATCCAGTGGTCTAAACTACGGGCACCACTTCCCTGGCAGCACAAGATCGTCAATGGTTCCCTGGTCATCCCTAACCTGGGGCTGCAGGACTCCGGCCAGTACATCTGCAATGCTTCCAATTCTGCCGGCTTCAAAGAGATCTTCATCATGCTGGACGTGGAGAGTAAGAGCATTTCCATCTGTGCGGCTCAGTGGGGTGGGGTTGGATTAGTTTGTTGACTGCATGTTTTCAGAACACCCGCTTTTCAAGAAACCACCGATTACGTTGGAATCACTGACCTGAATGTTGGCCACCCTTCCTGCTGCTCTGCTCGCTCTCGCTCAGCGGCGCTGTGTGAATTGTGCACACGCGGGGAATGGCGTTTCACCAGCTGGCAGCCCCCGGCACAGTCACGTGCTGAGCGTCGCCAAGTTAGTCCTGATCCCTGTCTGTCCAGCGCCTTGGGACGTCCTCCCAAGCACTCTTCAAACGTAATCTTGTTGATGTTTGTGGTTGTTGTTGTTAAACAAGCCGAGCCTTTGTGAGCCGCGGTGCCTCCTGTCACATGGCAGTAACACCAGCTTCCCTCGTCCTCTCAGGTCCACCTTATGCCACCTTTAACAACGAAGCCGTGACTGTTCGGGTAGGTGAAGTGATCCGGCTGCAATGCCTGGCCCAGGGAACACCCCCACTCCAGTACCAATGGTCTAAACTGGGCGGAAAGCTGCCATCCAGAGCCCGCATCCGGGATGGCGTCCTGCAGATCAACCTGGCCGTGATCTCCGATTCCGACACTTACAGTTGCCTGGTCAAAAACAAGGTCGGGGAGAGCGAAGCCACAGCGACTGTCAGAGTTAGATGTAAGTTTATTGCCATTGTCGTCAAAGCTGAATAGCTGTGGGCGTTTTATCTCATATTTGTCAAGATCACATGTTCCAGTGGAATCATAGAATATTACAGCACAGAAGGAGGCCATTCGGCCCATCGATGCCTGTGCTGGCTCTAAAGCTACTCAACCAGTCCCACTCTTAACCCACAGGCCTGTAAATATTTCCTTTTCAAGTACTTTTCTAATTCCCTTTTGAAAGTTGTTATTGAATCTGTTTCCACCCTTTTCAGGCAGTGCATTCCAGACCGTAACAACTCTCTGGGTTAAAAAAAATCTCATCTCCCCTCTGGTTCTTTTGCCAATTATTTTAAATCTATGTGCCCTGGTTACTGATCCACCCTATCTACTCTATCAAAACCCCTCATCATTGGGAACACCTCTATTAAATCTCCCCTTAACCTTCTCTGCTGTGAGGAGAACCATTCTCTGGTCTCTCCACATAACTAAAGTCCCTCATCCCTGGTACCATTCTGGCAAATCTCCTCTGCACCCTCACCAAAGCCTTGACATCCTTCCTAACGTTTGGTGCCCAGAATTGGACACAACATACCAGCTGAGGTTTAACCAGTGACTTATAAAGATTTAGCAGAACTTCCTCGCTTTTGTACTCTGTGCCTCTATTTATAAAGCCAAGGATCCCATATACTTTTTTAATAGCTCTATAACCTGTCCTGCCAGCTTCAAATACATGTGTTACGTGAACCCCCAGGTCTCTCTGCTCCTGTAACCCCTTTAAACCTGTACCATTTGTATGTATATTCTTCTCCTCATTCTTCCTGCCAAAATGCATCACCTCACACTTCTCTGAATTAAACATCATCTGCCATGTGTCTGCCCATTTCACCAGTCTCTCTTTGCCCTCCTGCAGTCTGTTACCATTCTCCTCACTGTTTATCACGTTCTCAAGTTTTTGTCAAAATAAAGTAGATTATAACAAATGCACAATAAATCTGTTGAGAAAGAACTTAATGCACTAGAAAGTGGAAATACATTATCACTTAATTTACATTATCACTCATTTAATATGACTTACACAAAGTCCAAGTTGCAAGCAAACGTAGTCATATATTATCCAATTTAATCAGTAATCTGCACTGCGTGTGCATAATTCAACGCAGTCAGTAAGTGTGGGAGGAATGGAGGGTTGGGGAACTGCGTTACGGTTAGAAGATGATTAATGCGACTCATGCAAAGAAATCTTAAGCGGTTTTGATAGGAAATTGAATAATAATCTTTGCATTAATGGGACTCAGGTGTATGTACGACCTAGGCAATTATATGATTTATAAATATAAGACTTATGTGAGTTTTACTATATTTCCTGTAAATGTTTAGCTCCGAGAGCAATAAGTGGTCAGAGCAGAGCCCTGGAACCTTAAAGGATGGGAAACCATTCTGATGTTATTATCCCTCTTGCTTGTGCTGATGTTGGCACTGTTGAGACTCAGGGTATAAGTCATACTACCTCTTGGACATACTTGCACATACCGGCTAATCATCCATTGCTTATTTCCTCCTGTCTGTGACCCCAGCTCCCCTGGCTGTGAGAGTGACTCCACAGATTGACGTGAAGAACATTGGTGGCACAGTGGAGTTCACCTGCTCAGTGATTGGTGATCCCAAGCCCAGGATCCAGTGGCTTAAACAGGGCGGTCACTTGCCCCCGGACCACAAAATCAGCAAAGACGTCTTGAGGTAAAACTTAATGTAATGTTTTGAGGTGTGAGTTGCAGAGCAGGCTGTACTGATTTGAAGCGAAGCGAGGATTGTAATGGTGAGGTCTTTTGTGATATTTCCAGAATTAGCAATCTACAACAAGAAAATGAAGGAATTTACATCTGCAGAGCAACAAGTCGGTATGAGCAGGCCCAGGATAGCGCCAAGCTCACCATCCAAGGTAGGGGTGACACTCAACTTGTTCACTGTTTGTCAAAATAAAGTAGATTATAACAAATGCTATAGTGTTTGGCTTATATCCCTCAGTTGGTAGCACTCTTACCTCTCGGCCAGAAGGTTGTGGGTTGAAAATTCCAGCGTCTTGGGACATCCTCCTGACATGAACATGTACAATTATAATTTGTTGTTGTTGAAGTCCTCTCGGCCAAGGCTGAGGCTGCAGTGCAATGCTGGGGGCGGCGCTGTGATGTGGAGATGCTGTTCTCTGGATGAGACTTTAAACCAAAAGATTCGGCGTTCAAAACCCTCCGGAACCCCTCAGCTCTCTTTAAGATTATGAGTTAGGTTTTTCTCGAGGGGCATTTTCAAGAGTTAAAACAATCGTTGCATTTGATATAGCGCCGTAACGCTTCGTTGAAAGGTCACAAAGCGCTTCGCAGCATAGACTGAAAGTGATCCACTGATCAACTAACAAGCGAGTTCCTACTTACTGCAGAGGTGTGTGGCTTTCGGGAAACTTGCCTAAGGTTTTGCCCTGTTTGGAAATCGAATCTGGGTCCTCTCGCTCGCGAGGCGAGGGCTCTGACCAGTTCGCTACGCGACCCCACGCCAAACTAACTTGTGTGTTTGCTGTCGGCAGCCTTGCCCATTGTAATGATCAATGTGAGGACCTCGGTGCAGACTGTGATGATTGGCGGCTCGGTGGAGTTCGAGTGCCAGGCGATCGGAGACCCTCAGCCCGTGGTCGGGTGGAGTAAAGTGGAGGGCACACTGCCCCCCGGGGTGCGGATTGGCAACGGAATGCTGAAGATTGCCAACGTGAAGGAGTCTGATGCAGGTCGTTACCGCTGTACAGCCACCAACCAAGTGGGGTCGGTCGAGTCGGAGGTTGTTTTACACGTCCAGAGTAAGTAAACCCCCGACTGCCCTCAAATTGCTGTGGAGCCTCGATGTGTTCACAATGATCAAGGGAGGATCCCTGTAGAAAGGGAACAACTCGTCCAAAACAAGGGGATTATCACCTCAAAACTAGAGCTAAAATTTTAAGACTTGATGACGGTGGGAATGTAGAGCACACCGGGCCTGAAGCTCTTGGAGGTTAAATGGATCGGATTGTTTAAAAGGGAAACAGTAGACACTTGAGAAGTGAGGGTATTCAGTCAGGGGGTTGGGGAATAGGCTGGGAAATGGGATGCCAAGACTTGCCATGATCGCTTTCCGTGGGTGATAATCCTCCGAAAATCAATCCGGTCACTCAATCGCCCCCTGCATTTCACCCACAAAACATACAGTCAATTCACTTTACAGTGTTATTATCTGTTGTTATCATTATTATTAGTCTCTGAAGGGCTTGGAGACGTTTCAACGACGTGATAAGGCGCTACATCAAATGCAAGGATTATTATGATAATTATTGTTATGATTGGCTTATCACCGGATGGCTGTTATTTTTCCAGCGATTCCACGCATTACCCCTCAACCGGAGATCAAAGAGGTCGCGATCGGATCCTCCGCTGTGTTCCCCTGCCTAGCGTCAGGATTCCCTGCCCCGGATGTCACCTGGACAAAGGTGGGTAATGGGTCCTGTGTCGCTCTCTGCCTAAGCTTTGTGTTTTAGAAAAAGGTTCTGTTTTCTAATGGATTCATTCTCCACACGCACCCCCCGCACCCCTACCCCGCACCCACGCATACAGACCCACAAACACACACCATCCCATCCCCTCCCCACACACACACACACACACATGCACACACACCACCCCCTCCCCCTTAAACACACTACCCCTCCTCACCACCACAGACACACACAAAGACACACACCACCATCCCTCCCCCCCCACCCCCACACACACCACACACGCACGCACATACGCACACGGACTGTGTTATACCCTTTTCGCTTACGATTATAACTTGGAAAATTCTTAAAATTAGTTTTAATTTGGAAGCCGTTCTTTTCAATTCCTCAGAAGACAAAGACTGGGAGAGGGTTTAGGTCACTCGTTTACAAGGTTTTTATGCACTGTGTACCTGAAGCCCACGAGCCACGATTTGTGGGGAAGGTGATGCAAAGAACCTGAGTGGAGTCCTGTAGCTCAGTGGTTAGAGTCCTTGCCTCGCAAACGAGAGGACCCGGGTTCGATTCCGAGCGGGGCGAAACCTTAGACAAGTTTCCTTACTCCACATGACTAATAATCCCTTTTTAAAAAAAAATAATAATTTGATCAGTCATCCCAGCTGTTTGTGGGACGCTGCTGTGAGCAATTGGTTACCACGTTTCTCCCACAAAATGTACAGTCACTCCACTTTACAGTATATTCTGTGAAGCGCTTTGAGACGTCTCAAAGACGTGATAAGGCGCTGTATCAAATGCCAGGATTATTATTAGTACATTGGAGAGGGTCATGTTCCCACTGTCTCCTCACTGATCATATGTAAGTGTCCTGTTAGACGAGGGAAAGTGGCTGAGTTTAGATCTCAAGTCCATCCAAGTTACAAATGAGATGAGTCGACATGATTTATTGGTGTCTGATTTGATGCCTTTTCTGATTGCGTTGCTGTTTGCACATTGTAGCTGGAGGGAGATCTCCCGGCTGGAGCGCGGGTTGACAACAATGTGCTGACCATACAATCCGCTACCCCGGAGCACACCGGAACGTATGTCTGCACCGCCACCAACGAGCAGGGAACAGAGACGGCCTACGCCATGCTGAAAGTCCGAGGTACAAGGAAAAGCTGCACTTTACGGACTCCATCCTCAGCTGCGATGTGCTTTGTTACTGCGGGGGGTGATGGGAGGGTTATCCCTGGAGGCTGATGATTCTCTTCCCGATCTCTCTGCTCTTGCTCGAGCGCAGGGCGAGGCTGCTGTTACACAGATGGTACAAATTCGAGTCGTAACATGGACTGAGGTCCTGTCAGTCGTGACCGTATTCAATATGGTTTGCGGTGAAGTCCGAGTTACAGACAAACTGCAAATCGTATCAAATTCGATTTAATTGATAACCTACACTGCACGGGCAGGCAGTGTGCGTGTGGTAACGGCTCAAGACTCAATTCCCAAGACATTGAATCGCGGGAAATGTCATCAGTGGCCGGGCTTTCAGCCTCTCTGCCCCCTCTGGACACTCTGAAACTCCATCCCACGGTCCCTTCACCTCGCTTCCTCCCTTTCCTCCTTCAAGGCTGATCTCACGCCTCTTCTCTTCGATCGTACCTTCAGTCGCCCTCCCACCTCTCTGCCTTCCCTCACCCCCACCCTACTCCCCCCCATGCTCAGGTCCTGACCCGTGACTGTCCAACGCCTTGGGACGTCCTCCCGATATGAAAGGCGCTCTATAAATGTAATTTTTTTGTTGTTGTTGTTCTTCTGTGTATGTGGCAACAGGTCTAGGCTATTGTTTCCTACAATTCAATGCAGTCGGTAAGCGCGGGAGTAATGGAGAGTAGGGGAGCGCTGTTACGAGTTAGGAGTTGATTAATATAAAATCTAAGTAGTTTTGATAGGAAACTGAATGGGACTCGCTGCTAAACCACACAGATACATAGATTTGAGCTACATTCATCCTGACGCGCTCTTCAAGTATTTTTCAATCTTCACCTTGTGCTGTGAAAACTTAATGTTTTAATGAGTTTTATTTCTGCTCTTTCTCTTACACTCACTCACTCCCTCTCTCTTACACTCTCTCTGACTCTCCTCACTGACTCTTACACTCTTTCTGACTCTCTCTCACTCTTACACTCTCTCTCTCTTACACTCTGACTCTCTCTCACTCACTCTCTCACTCACTCTCTCTTACACACTCTCTCTCACACTCTCTGACTCTCTCTGATTTCTTTGTTGAACTGACGGACCTCTCTACAACCCTCCCGTTACAGACCGAGTTGTGCCGTACTTCACACAAGACCCTGTGTCCTACATCGCGCTGCCAACGATAAAAGATGCTTATCACAAGTTTGAAATCAGGATAACATTCCGACCCGATGCTGCAGACGGTAAGCATTGTTTTTACACAGAATTATAGCTGTTTTTGTCCTGGATATGAACTCTTTGTAGGGCCTCATCCCACTTAGTAGCCCAGAGAGACATCCCAACCAAACTTGTTGTTCCCTCACAGACTTGCCAGCGCTGGTCACTGGTTAGTAACAGGGAGATGGTACTCTGTCTGATCTCCTCTTCTCTTTAATGCAGAGACTGACTTTTTTAGAAGCACCTCAACCAATGTACGTGTCTGTGATCCACTGGTTCATCTCAAACCAGGGTTTGACCCTTTGCCGGGCTGTGACTCTGCCCCACTCAGTGTCTTGAGCTTTAAGCTCGGCTGGCACTGGCCTCCTGCTCGTCCCTCGTGCCCTCCGTTCCACTATCGGTGGCTGCGCTTTCAGCCACTACACCCCGAAACTCTGGAAAACTCTTCCTCTATCTCTCCACATTGCCCCCTCCTTCCCCATCTCCAAGTAGCACCTGAAGACCTTCCTCTTCAACCGTGCCTCCGGTCACCCCCAGCCTCTCCCCCGGTTCGGATTCATGCTCCGCCACTATCGAGCGCTCTGAACCTCTATCCTGCTGGAGGGTACTGAGTAACTGCAGGTTGTTGTTACACCAACCTTTGCCACTGTTTATTTGGGATATTTGGTGTGAATGCTTTGAGCTCCAGCTCGCACTCTCCTTTCAGAAGCCAGTTTGATACTGTGCATAATTACTTTCCTGTCTTGTTCTTTTCGTTTCCTGTTGATGCCAAGTACAGTCTGTGTCCTGGGGAGTAGAGCATCAGCACCCTGAATGTTTCTGTCTTCCAATGTTTCTCACTTTCCTTTTCTGTCTCCTTGTGTTCCTCATGCACCTCCTGTCTGAAGCTCTTATACTCTACTCCGGTGAGTTTGGGTGTGTTTCTCTGTCAGTTACATCGCTCGTTCTTGTTCAGAAATGGCGCTGTGATTGACATTTGCATGGGCTGCCTCCTAAACATACTAAACTGCTTGGCCACCATCGCAGCTACTGTAGCCCTGAGCCATTGAGTTTATTTACTGGCCATGGTTAGTGCTGTGATACAGTGAGGGGTAGATCAGAGGCCAGGTTTAGTAGAGACTAATCTGTTAATGAGCACATTGTGTGACTCAGTGTTCCATCTGTGGAGTCCTGTAGCTCAGTGGTTAGAGCACTGGCCTCGCAAACGAGAGACCTGGGTTCAATTCCCAGGCAGGGCGAAACATTGGGCAAGTTTCCTTACTCCACCCACCACTGTTTACCTGGCGGTAAGTAGGAACCCGGTTGTTAGTCGATTGGCTGATCGCTTTTCCACAGGTAATAATCCCTTAAAAAACAATAATAATTTGGTCATTCAATCCATGAATGTTTGTGGGACACGACTGTGAGCAATTGGCTGCTGCTTTTGGTCCACAAAATATACAGTCAATTCACTTTACAGTATATTCTGTGAAGCGTTTTGATATTATATAATAATAATAATAATCCTTGCATTTAATTAGCAGGGAAAGGAGCTTGAGAACTATTCCACTTATGGCAATTCCTATCTGACTGATCTCTCATTTCCATCTTTCAGGGATGATAATATACAATGGCCAGAAGAAAACAACCGGGGCAGATTTCATCTCGTTCGGGTTAGTGGGCGGCCGTCCTGAATTCAGGTAATGTGTCTCTGCCTTGTCTCCAATCTCCCAGTGTCAAGAACGTTCTCCGTTCTCCATGGCCAGTGAGAACCATTTTGGCCACATGTTTTGCTGATGTGATAATTATCGCATGTTGAATCTTGCAGCTACATTGCCTCGTGTACGTTTGTGGCATTTCCTGATTTTTTTGATCTTGGGCTTTCGGCACAGATTTGACGTGGGTTCCGGTATGGCCACCATCCGCCACCCCAACCCCATCTCCCTGGGAGAGTACCACACTGTGGTCCTGCAGCGCAACCTGACCCAGGGCAGCCTCTCTGTGGACCACAACCTCCCAGTCAGTGGAACTTCCCAGGTAACATAATGTCTCGGCTGCTAATAACAACAACAACTTGAGTTTATATAGCGACGTTCACATGGGGTAACGTCCCAGAGTGCTGTACTGTGGCGGAGTCTGACCCCGAGCCAGGGAGCGAGGGAGGTGACCGTAAGCACGTTCAAAAGGGAAGGTTTCGGGCCATAGTGGCTAAAGGCACGAAGAACAAACAGGGTTGTGAGGACCAACAGAAAGCACGAGGGACAAACAGGAGGCCAGAGCAGGCCAAGCGGAGGCAGTGGGTGGGTAAGCAGGTCGGATAGGTAGGGCAGTTGCGAGGGAATGAAATGATTTGAAAGTGAGTGATAGGATCTTGAAATCGATCTGTTCGGTGACTGGGCAGCAGTGGAGCCAGGCAAGGGCTGGGGTGATGGGGTGCGGAGTTTCGTGCAGGTGAGTATCCGGCCAGCAGTGTTTTGAATTAATTGGGTTTAGTGTATGGTGGAGCTGGGGAGACCAGTGAGGAGGGCGATAGGATTGTCCAGCCAGGAAGTGACAAAGGTCTGGATGAGGGTTTCAGCTGCGTCAGTTGTGAATTCCGGACGGAGATGGGCAATGTGACGGAGGTGAGAAAAACACAGCCCTGGTCAGGGAACGGATGTGGGGTAGAAAGGAAAGCTGGGGATTGAACTTGATGCCTAAGTTGTGCCCGGGTTCAGAGAGTCTGAGGGAGAAGCCGGGGAGGTTGAGGAGTTCAGACTCACAGGAGAGAAGCTGTTGATGGGAGCTAATGAGTATGGCTTCCGTCTTGCCAATATTCAAGCTGACAGGATATCAGTGGACTGGGAGTTGCAGCTGGAGGAAGAAAGAGATTTGTGTGTCATCCACTTACAAATGGAAGTTGACCCCGTGTTTGCGGATGACATCGCCGAGAGGGAAGATGTAGATAAGGAAAAGGAGGATGGAGCCTTGGGGTACCTGCAGGTGACCAAGAGGGACCAAGAGGAAAAACAACAATAACTTGCATTTAGATAGTCCAGTATCTCAGTGGTGAGAGCGCTCGCCTCACAAGCAAGAGGACCTGGGTTTGATTCCCGGGCAGGGCAAAACCTTAGGCAAGTTTTCTTACTCCACACGCCTCTGTTTATCTAGCAGTAAGTAGGACCCCGGTTGTTAGTTGATTGGTGGATCGCTTTTCCAGGGATAATAATTTCTTAAAAAAAAAAAAAATTGTCACTTCAATTCATGACTGCTTGTGGGACGCTGCTGGGCGCATCCTTCATATTTTGCCCACAGAATATAGTCAATTCACTTTGCAGTATATTCCATAAATTCTGGTTTGAGACATCTCAAAGACATGATAAGGCGCTATATCAAGTGCAACGATTATTGTGTTATTCTAAGCATTCACACTGCCTAATTTGTGCTGCAAATTTGTCTATTATTCCAGCAATTGGTTTCTCAGTTTCTCCTGGACAACAAACGCCCAAATAAAACCAGTTGTTCAGTTCTTTGCTGTGTGCAAATTGTCCATATAAATATACAGTCATTACACTCCACAGTGTATTGTGAAACACTATGAAAAGTCCTGCGATTGTAAAAGGCTAATATGAAAGGATGATTATTATTTAAGAAAAATAACTTTCATGTAGTTATGGAAAGATGAGATCAAATCGGACCCAAATAACCAAACCTCTCTTGCGATCTTAAGAAATTGAGGGAAAGTGGTTTCCATTCCAACTGCAAGGATGAACCTTTACTATCTCTGTTCTTTTCAGGGGAGTTTCCGTGGTCTGGATCTGAATGAAGACCTGTATGTAGGAGGGTACCCCGACTTTGATAACATTTCTAAAGCAACTGGACTCGACAGTGGATTTATGGGTGAGAAACTCTTTTGACTGTGACTCCACATGCCTGCACCATCACAATATTTTGTGACGCTCACCAACTCATTCCCCTTCCTAGGTTGTATCCGCCAGCTCACCATTCAGGGTGATGAAGTGATCTTCTCTCTCCCAGAACTGAGAGCCACGGGAATCTCCAACTGCCCGACCTGCAAGGACAAGCCGTGTAAGGTAAGGAACTCCAGCACTGGTCACAAGATCTTCCAATATTCAGTTTCTCAATGAGATGTCTCATTGAGGATGATGGTGTGCTCTTAATCATAGAATCTTATAGCACAGGAGACCATTCAGCCAAATTATGCCTGTGCCGGCTCTTTGATAGAGCTTCCCAATCATTCCCATTCCCCCCGCCCTTTCCCCAAAGCCTTGCAATTTTTTTGGCATCAAAGCTAATTCTTTTTTTATCTCTTCTCTCCATCGGGTCTTTTACAGCATTAATTTGCAACAAGTTTCTGCCAGTCTAGAAGTGCTGTAACTATAGTATTTGTTCGGGCACCTGGCTGTGTCTGGGAGAGACTCACCCTTTCAGTGTTACACTCCCTCCGTCTGGGAGTAAAAGGGAATGAATTATTTGGTGACCTGCGGTTCCGATGTAAAACGGTTGCTTAGTAACTTGCAATCAAGACCCTTGAGGTTATTAATTGGCTTCACTGTGTGGGGGACATTATAGCAGTTTCACATCAGTCAGGAGTATTGTAGATCTGGGTTTGCAGTTGGTGTGAGAAACTGCGCTGCATTTAACATCCATTGTGGATTTAATGACAGCATTAAAACTTTATGGTTTACTCACGGAGAAATAACTCAGGCATGTTCTCTTTCAGAATGGAGGCAATTGCGTTGACTCAGACACCAGCAGATACGTGTGCTTGTGTAAAAGGGGATTTACTGGGAGCAACTGCGAACATTCCCAAGATCTGCACTGCCACCCAGGTAATCTGTGCTGCTGCTCCTACTCATGTCCTGATGGTGGGCAATGCAGTGTGTATGGACAACAGCAACAACTTGCATTTATGTATATGTAATAATAAGAATAATCCTTGCATATATCGCCTTATCTTCAACTTCGCAGTAAAGTGGATTGACTGTATACTTTTTGGGCCAAATGCGGCAGCCAATTGTACACAGCAGCGTCCCACAAACGGTCGTAGATTGAGTGACCAAATAATGTAGCATCTTTCATTTAGAGTAAAGTCTCAGATCACTTTATATGTAGCGACTTTCATACAAGAGAATGTCTCAGCGCTGCAACAGGTCTCACCCCTAATGTAAACCCGCAGTCTGGCCTCTCTTGCCTCTGAGTCGGAAGACTGCGGGTTCGAGCCCCCACGTTGGAATCACATAGTCTAAGCTGACGCACCAATGGGGCGGGTGGGGGGGGGGGGGGGGGGTGGCATAGTGGGAGGTGCCGTCCTTCAGATGAGTCATTGAACCGAGGTCCCGTCTGCCTGTTCATGTGGCTGTTAAAGAGCTCCTGTGGAGCTAATCGAAAGGAGAAGCAAGTTTCTCTCTCCCTCCCTGTATCCTGGGCGATGATTCCCCCCAAATAAAACAAGGTTGGTCGCTCACTCCATGGCTGTTTGTGGGACATTGCTGCACGTAAACTGGCTGCTGTGTTTTTGCCAATAACATACGCAATAAAACCACTTGATAGTATTTCCTATGAAGCGCTTTGAGACGTGTCGAGAACGTTTATATCAAATGCAAGGATTATTATTATCGATAGGAAGTGACAGTACTCCCAACACTCAGCTGTTTCCTCACTTTAATTTCAAAGGTCAGACAATAGCACACTCACCTCTGGGTCACAAGGTTGTGCGTCAAACTCCACGTCATAACCTGAGCTCCATCTCTGCGCTGACACTGAAGTGCAATCCTGAATGAGCACTGAATTACCAGAATTCGGTTAAAGCTGAAGCCCCATCTGCCTGTTCAGGTGGACGGACATTAGATATCTCATGATACCATTGGAACAGAGCGAACAGTTCCTCCTGGAGTCCTGGCCAACATGGTGGTTGTTCACCTATTGCTGTTTGCGGGACAATACTGGCACCAAACGGTTGCTGCTTCCCCCCCCGTATAATCGGATGTTGTAAGAGTGAAAATTCTTCGCATTTAACAGTGGTTCGTCCCCTCTCCCTGCAATCACAGCCAGGAGCTGAGGGCCCAGGGCTGAGCAGGTCTCTAGCTGGCTAGAATCAGGGCTGCCAGAGGCTAATTGTCAGCGCGCACTGTGAGATGAGAATCAGGAAGAAAGAGACTGTTATTGTACAGTGTTTCTAACACCACCTTCTGGCTTATGTCCTCAGAGGCGTGTGGGCCAAATGCCACGTGTGTGAACAGGGCAGATGGTCTTCCTTATATCTGCCGCTGTCACCTGGGCAAACGAGGACCAAAGTGCATGGACGGTGAGTGAGTGTGCGCGTGGGGGTGTGTGTGTGCGCGTGTGAGTGTGCGCGTGGGTGTGTGCTTGAGTGTGTGCACATATGTGTCTCTTTTGTTCACTATATGTGTGCGGGTGTGCCATGTCTCATGTTGTGTGCATTTACCTGCTCTCTGTCTTTCTCTATCTCTTCTGTGTCTCTGTCACCCTCGGCCTCTGTCACCCTCGGCCTCTGTCACCCTCAGCCTCTGTCACCCTCGGCCTCTGTTCTAGTGTTTCATTCTGAAATACCAGGATCACTCTCTGTAAATTACTGTCATTTTCATAATTCAGGAGTTGAACTTGTTTTAAGTGTTGCTGTATTTCCTGCTGCTGCTGTGGTTCAGAAATGGAAACATCTTCTGTTCTGTACTCTGCTGCTTTGCAGGGACCTTGGTTACAGCTCCTTCATTCCGAGGCCGCGAGTCCTTCGTGTCGTACCCAGCGCTGAGCAACATCCACAACGAGCTGACCATTGAGATGCGGTTCAAGCCTCGCTCGCCCACTGGCCTCATGTTCTTCAGCAGCGGCAAGAGGATGAAAATGAACGACTTCGTCTCGGTCGCCTTGGACAACGGCTTTGTGGAATTCCGTTACGACCTGGGCTCAGGTTAGAAGAAATTCAGTGATCAATCATAAGCTGCCGCGTTTCACCAGCGAGATACACAGTCACTCAGCTTTACAGTATATTCTGTGAAGCGCTTTGAGACGTCTCAACCACATGATACGGCGCTACATCAAATGCACGGATTATTATTACTATTATTCTCTTCCCTATTCTTTGAATGCAATTCCCAATCAAACGTTACCCGTTACTCTCTGAACTAAAGTGCTTCACAAAGTAGCTTTGAGTGCGCGTGTCTTGTTTTATTCTGTGTAACCTCAGTAGAATTAAGCAAAAAGTCAGGTGCCTTCAGGAGAGAGTGGGGGACGAGACATAGAGGGTGGGTGAGGTGAAACAATACAGTGAAGCTTCGATTGGAAAGGGTATAGGGAGGACCTCACCTTCAGGTGACCAACCTTATAACAGAGACATTCTCAAAAGCTTTCTACCCTTTGGAAAACGGAGCTCCATTCAAAGAAATGGGCAAAGACGTCTTCTAGTTTAGCCGATAATCACACAATCACAGTATTATTCCTTGTTTCACTGGAAACGGTTAATTGAGGAATCACAATGCCATCGATGACTTGACTGAGCAGCAGCTGGTAGTGGGCACGTGAGCTCTGGACCCTATGAACTATCATCGACATGTGTCACCTTCCTTCTCCCACACGTGTATGCACACACATACATACACACGCGCGCCCACACACACACGCGCACACTCACATGTCCACACACACATACGCGCACACATACATATGCACACATACACGCGCACATATGTGCGTACACATACACACTCTTAAATGCACACACATGCATGCTTGCACACACACACCAGGAGATTCCAAGGAAAATTCTGCAGGTTGTAAATTAATCATAGAATAACCCCGGGGGCCAGAAAGGGAACGTAGTTTGCGCGAGTGAGTTGCTTCAGTGGCACGAGCTGCATGTAGTGTCATCTCATGGTCACCTGAGGATAGATGATTATCATAAAACTGAACCAACAGACCCCTTGATCAAACAGCTTTCATCTGGAAGCATCTGAACTGGCTTTGATTCATTAACCAACTGGCCTCTCTGTGTCCCCAGGTCTGGCTATCCTGCAGAGCTTGAAGCCGGTCACTCTCAACAAATGGCACCAACTCCGAGCGCATCGGTACAATAAGGAAGGATCACTGCACGTTGACAACGACTTGGAGGTCAGACAGTCGTCTCCAGGCAAAAGCCAAGGTCTTAACCTGCGCAGCCCCATGTACCTGGGGGGGGTGGCTACTTCCGAGGCTCTTCCCAAAGCACTAAGTGTCACACAAGGAATGGACGGCTGTATTGCTGAGGTGAGGCTCATGAATGAGAACAAGTGAATCTTACATAGAATCATAAATCGTACAGCAGAGAAGGAGGCCATTTGGGTCATTGTGCCTGTGCCGGGTCTTTGAAAGAGGCTATCCAAGTCCCACTGCCCCACTCTTATCCTATAGACCTGCACATTTTTCCTTTTCGAATACCTATCCAATTCCGTTTGAAAGCTATTATTGAATCTGCTTCCACCTCCCGTTCAGGCAGTGCATTCCAGACCATAACAATTCTCTGGATACGGGCTACAACTATAGCAGAGCCCTGTAGATATCTACCAGCCTTCAATGGACTCAGTTGGTAGCCCTCTGGCCTCTTCTGAGGAGATACAAGTCCAATACCATAACATAGTTCTTTCCGATACTCCACACAAGTAATGTGCTCTAAATCCTACAGGAACCATCTTTTCCACCTGATAATCTTTCAGGCATTGTATGCTTACACTTACAATCAGAAGAAAATTAATTATTGAAAACAAAGTGTGTCCCTACATCAATATGTAGAAACAAAACCCGAGGCGTATTCTAGCCTCCTCAGTGAGAGCAATGTCAGTGTACCCAGTCTGGGTGTACCCGAGCCAACAGGATATCAGCTCATTCCGCACTGCATTTCCAGAAAGCTTAACTTTTTAGTTGCAACTACTTTGGCCCATCTGTTCCCATCCCTTCGTACTGTACACCCATTGCAGCTTCAAGCATACTCGCATGTACATATCCACGCATATATGTACTCCTATACATACATACAACAATAGCGCCCTTCACTCAAGGACATACACACATACTCACACTCTAGGTGCGGGGGTCTTGATGCTCTAAGTGACTGTCTCCTCTTCCTGTGCTCCTATCCATGATGGTTTTGATGCCACTGACTGATGTGTTTTGTTTAGGTGTTAATCAATGGAAAGAAGGTGGACCTTTCCTACACCTTCACAGCCAGCCTGAACGTGGGCCAGTGCTACGATAACTTGTTGTGTGACACTCAGCCCTGTCTGCATGGGGGCACGTGTCTGGCAACAGCAGAGTCAGAGTATCAGTGCCTTTGCCCACAGCAATACCAGGGTAAGTCGGGCAAAATTACACTCTTTCCTATTTCTATTGTTTGCTGGTACCAGCCAGAACTTATTGTAAAAGTATTATTTTATTCTGGGAATCTCTGGGTTGGTATCAGAGTGTTGAAGATGGATGGGAAGATAGTCATGAGCCCATCCATTGGCTTAATGGGTTAAGCTTTCTGTGACTATTTCTTGCCAGCTTCACTTGTCATTTTTCGCACTCTGTTACTTTCTCCACAAAATCCCTTTGTTTTCAAGCGCTCTGGGACACTACCTCCCATTTTCCAAATACAAGCATCAATACCAGCGGCCAAGTGTGACGAGATGTTCGGTTGCGTTCTTATCCCCTGTGTGTAATTTCTTTTTTATTCAGTTTCCATGAAATTCACACGTCAGACGACGGTAACGCTTTGGGATTTGAATGGGGAAACGTCGCTGGTTTATTGTGAAGCTTTGCTAAAGTTTTGTGACCGAGCTATTTTTTCCAATTGTGCTCCTATGTGTAGGTGAGAGGTGTGAAGTCTACCTGGAGCCATGCTCGCAAACCAACCCTTGCATGAACGGTGGCACCTGCGAGAGGAACCACTGCTTCTGTCCGATGGGATTCACTGGGCAGAAGTGCGAACTAGGTACAAATGTAGACGGAAATATTTCTTGGATATCTGCTCTGCACCTTAGAAACGTGCCCCTGATGAGAAACGACATCGTAAAAGAATCACCAGTGATTTAACAGATGCGAATAGCCTTTCCACTGCTGTGTGTGATGGCGCTTGCATGCAGTGTGGTTGCAGTGCTGTTAAGAAGCTAATGGAAAACATTCCCGTTAGGTGGACGTACTTAGCTGTTTCATAGCTTTGTGTCATATAGCATAGGTCACACATAATCCACCTACTAATCGTGCTCTTCTGCTCTCTCTCTCTCTCTCTCTCTCTCTCTACACCGTTTGATGCCCCACCTCTTCAAACATCTGTCCAATTCCATTTTAAAAGATATTTTTCGATTATGGTTTGCGGCAGAAAATACCGCCTTCCAATCACCCTGTGTAAAGGAAGCTTTCCACCCTCCTCTTTAATTCTCCTCTTGTTCGTTGTAAACTACACCGAAAGCAACTTCTGCTAGGAATCTTCCCCTTTCCGCTTCACTGTCATTTCACTGGAATTTCTGTTGAATCACCTCTATTTTAATCAGAGAATGTCATCAGCTGTGACACTTTGCTGCTCAAGCACAGATTCAGTGTTAAAGAAGTTAAAGCTAAGTGCCATTTGACACACTGCCAGTTTGGGGCAATGGTGAAAGGGTTGATAGTATCCTCAAATATCAAATGGGTGACGCTCCTCAGAAATAAAGGATTGGTCAGATCCGATTTTAATGCAAAATGATTATCTTGACTGTCATCTCTTAGAATTAATATAGATGGGGTTTCAGATTGGGATCTTGAGGACTTTCTATTGGCAAGTGAGAGGATCTGGGTTTAATTCCCGGGCAGGGCAAAATGTTGGGTAAGTTTCCTTCCTCCACACTCCTCTGTTTACCTAGCAGTAAGTAGGGTTTAATAATCCCTTCCAAAAAATAATAATAATAATTTGGTCACTCAATCCACGACTGTTTGTGGGACGCTGCTGTGGAAAATTGGTTGTTGCATTTTGCCCACAAAATATACAGTCAATTCACTTTACAGTATATTCGGTGAAGCGCTTTGAGACGTCTTGAAGACGTGATAAGGCGTTATATTAAATGCAAGTATTATTATTTGTTAGTATTATTATTACTAGTCCTGTAGCTCAGTGGTTAGAGCACTGGCCTTGCAAGTGAGACACCTGGGTTCAATTCCAGGCAGAGGGCGAAACCTTGAACAAGTTTTCTTACTCCACACAGAGCCTAATAATAATCCCTCCAAACAAAACAATAATAAATTGGTCATTTTCAATCCACGACTGTTTGTGGGACATTGCTGTGTGCAATTGGCTGCCGCGTTCGCCCACAAATATATACAGTCAATTCACTTTACAGTATATTCTGTGAAGCGCTTTGATAAGTCTCGAAGGCGTGAAAAGCGCTACATCAAATGCAAGGATTATTATTATTATTTGGTCTGATTACTGCTGCCATCTAGTGGTCAATATCCAATATTGTCTCCTCACTTTCCCAAATTGTTCAAGACTCCGACTCTGTCTGTAACACAAACCTCCCGCTCGCTGGTTTCTCCTTTATTTTGTTTTAGAAACCGGCTTCCAGATAGTGGCTGGATATTAAAAATGTTCACAATTCTCCACAATCTTAGATATCATGACAAGGATCTTAAGGGTGAGTCCAGATGGAATTTTGGGCCTCTAGTCTCACCCTTGGTCAGCAGCTAATTATTGGTGTGTTGTTTAAGCAAACATTTTGCAATTGCTATGATGCTCTTCCAACATCTCATGGTATTGTGGAGAATTGTGAACATTTTTAATATCCAGTCACTAACTGGAAGCCGGTTTGTAAAACAAAATAAAGCAGAATACAGCGAACGGGAGGCCTGTGGTACAGAGAGTCCTGTAGCTCAGTGGTTAGAGCATTCGCTTTGAAAGCGAGAGACCTGAGTTCGATTCCAGGCAGAGGGCGAAACCTTGGGCAAGTTTCCTTACTCCACACAGAGCCTAATAATAATCCCTCCAAAACAAAACAATGATAAATTGGACACTTCAATCCACGACTTTTTGTGGGACATTGCTGTGCGCAATTGGCTGCCACATTTCGCCCACAAATATAATAATAATCCTTGCATTTGATATAGCTCTTTCACGTCTTCTCGACGTCTCAAAGCGCTTCACAGAATGGACTGTAAAGTGAATTGACTATATTTGTGGGCGAAACGCAGCGGCCAATTGCGCACAGCAATGTCCCACAAACAGTCGTGGATTGAAAATGACCAATTTATTATTGTTTTGGTTTTGGAGGGATTATTATTAGGCTCTGTGTGGAGTAAGGAAACTTGCCCAAGGTTTCGCCCTCTGCCTGGAATCGAATTCAGGTGTCTCACTTGCAAAGCGAGTTTTCTATATACAGTCAATTCACTTTACAGTATATTCTGCGAAGTGCTTTGAGACGTCTAGAAGACGTGAAAAGCGCTATATCAAATGCAAGGATTATTGTTATTATTATTATCAGTTCAGAAACTTTAGGCTCACGTCCAGTGTAGACTTGGACAGACTTGTAAACAGATAAGTCTTAAAGAGACGGTGTCCCATAAATGTAGGTGAAAACGCATTTGACCAAAATGCACTCACAGATCAGGGAGTTTATATTGAAGGTGATGGTATATTTGGTGACAAGCTGACGTTGTGCTAAGGCTTGTTGCGGTTCGTTAATGATTCTATTTACACCTACACAGGATTGTCGATTGTCAGCCCAGGGTCAGAGTGGCTTGTGGAGGGTAGTGCGGGTAATGTGATTCACTTTGTGTTGTGCTTTCACCTAAACTATTGAAATTGGTGATGGTTTCTGATTTAGCACGGCCCTGGTCCTGTTTCTAACACAATGTCTGTTAAATGATGCACTGAAGTTTGACGAGAGGACAGAGGATACCATCTAAACAAGTCAGGGTGCGAGTCCCACATAGGAAGCTCTATCCGTAGCTGAATGATTGATGGCCTGCAGTCGGCTGAATTTTACAAATGCTGCACTTTTATTTCCTTTTTCTGCCCAGCCGGGTGTCAGACACATACGGAAACCCATCACCGTGCTTAAGAGTCTCTAAACTGAGAATTCCATGCATCAGAGATAGATTGAATGCACACACTCTCTCCCTGGAGGGACACATCCTGCTTTCCTAATTCCGGAGAGTATTAGGCACAGGTTGACAAGAGCCTCGGCTCGGGGAGCCCAGAATGTGCGTTGGGGTAACTGCTGGAGTCTAACCAGCTAAAACCACATCGCTTGCCATTGATATTGTGGTCTGGTAAGCTTTCCCGCTGCTTGTCCAGCTCGGACCACCCTACCCTTTAGGGCTTTGGCTTGCAGGGTTAAGGGTTACTTTCTCATAGGAATTAATACTCAGTTTAGCAAATCTGTGGAGACTTCTTACTATCTTTCCGACTTGAATCGTTTTTATGTTCCAGAGAAGCACAGAAATCCACAACATAGTAGGAGGCGATTTAACATTATTATATTTCAGAGATTTACAAAGAACATACAGCACTGTTATAGTATTAGTTTTGCTCATTTCTCCTCTAATGAAGCCAACTATCTTAATCCCAAATTCCTACTCTTTCCTTGTGTGCTTCCTCTGCATGTGCTTGTTCAATTCTCTTTTAAATACCAGCAATTAACTTTGGTCCAAAAACCATCCTTGGCAAATCATTCCAAGTTCTGACAAGCCGGCCTCGGGGAAAAAAAATCTTCCCCTTTCATGTTCCTAGTTATAAATCTTCAATTATAGAGTTTTTTTTTAATCACAAGTTACAATTCCTTTCCCATTTTTATTGAGGTTAGTTGCAGATTTTCTTTGCAAGTATTAACAACCAATCTTTGGAGAGGATGGTAGATGTTGCACTTTAAGTTGCCACATCTCGAAAGCTCACACAACAGAATAATTTCTGGCCCTGTTGTATGTCCCATTAACCATGAATCAGAACAAAGACAATATAATTTGCAGCAGCATCAATCCGATCAACCCACGTGGGAGCTGTTGCTGAACAGCTACACAAATGCAGCTATAAGTACGGAGTGTCACAGGTACTTAGTCAAGTTTGGGGACTAATATGAGCATCAACAGCAACTGAGTTGGAATCCACTCCTGTAGTGCATCATTTAGCCATAACGTACATGTTTTAATCCATTAACACTCGTGAAGTGTAATCCAACAAAACCAGGCTGTAAAGTGTTGGAAGTGTGTGTCTCCTCCCATTGAGGACATAATCTTTTGCCTCGGTGGTTGTCCATCACACCAATCCTTTAAGTGAAGGATTCCCGACCGGGGGTGACATCAGGATGTGAAGTTCCATTTCCTTAATGTTTGGAGCATGTTTCCCCCCATTGTCACGGCAACCGTTGAGGAGTTGGGACCATTTCATGCATACTTACTGTACTAATAAAAAAGCTTGGCATCTTGTGAAATTCTCAGTCCATGGATTGAACCACACTAGGTGACTCTTTTTCACCCGTGAGAAGCGCTCACTGGATTTATACTGTTTAAATTATACAATCACTTGTTTACTTGTGCATTTAGTGACTTTGGATATAAAACACAGATGGATCCCTGCAATCCCACGTTTAACAAGCATTTTACCATTTGGGATAGAATGCCTCTCCCTCTTCTTTCTTCCAAAATGCGTCATTTCACACAGCACATCATCAGAGTAGGGTAAACCTAACCTTTCTAAACCCAGCTCACGTTCCCTATCAGTGGGTGAACAATTCAACTCTTGGTGAATTCTGCTTCACAATTATAGGAAGAGCCCACATCGACGGATCAAAAAACGACGTTGCTATGAATGCTTGCATTTTCCACAAATCCTCTCACTCCGAAATATCCATCTGGAATCTCCTGGACTCTTTGTTTCTATTACCAATAACCTACAAATCTAGATATGAAACCGTGTTGTAAAAGCTAAAGCCCTTAGGTCTCCAATATCCAGAACTCACCAGAGCTCTGAGTATAAAATACAACCTGAAAGCAAGCAGAGATAATAATAATAATAATAATAATCCTTGCATTTGATATGTGTATCTGTGTATCTGAGCACAAGTTGGTATCTGCTAGGTTTATAATGGACACTGCTTCAATCCAATGTGGCACATTCGATTTACACACCTTTGGCCATCCATCAATATAATGTAATGCGTGTGGATTTGATGGCAACTCATGGCTTCCCAGTTCTTTACCCAGCAATAATCTGTCTGATTATCAAAAAAGTTCTGCACACTCTGCACACAAGTGCAAGTTGTTGAAACAATTTGTTCGGTTATCGAAACAAGAAGTAATGTAGATGGTGAAGGTGTTTATTTTACCCCAACTGTTAGCCATATTCCTGTTGGATCAACCTGTTTCCTGCTGTGCGATAGGGCAGTGGTGGTGGAGGAAAGAGACTTAGGATGTCTGTAACATAGCTTTCCAAATTTAGCACAATGAGTGTAACCAGAGCGGAGCAGAAACAAACAGCAGTGACAAGTCTTGAGATCACACCAGGAGTCTATTTTTGAGCCCAGGACTTCAACCTCACATATATCTGTCATGACATTCAGAATTAACGCAACTTCAAACTGATGGGCTCTTTTATCTCATTTGTTTCTAGATTCTCCTGTCCAGTACGGAGCATTCTTCCACGACGAGGGCTACATAGCTTTACCCAGACAAATGTTCCCGAGGAGGTAAGATCCACCGCAGCGAGTGAAAAGCCAGGGGCAGAATTTGAAGAATGAGATGCTGTCTAACAGCTGTGTGCCTTCCGCAAAGTCCTGATCTCTTAGTATAGTTTGTGGTCTTGATGGATGTCGTCGTTGGGCAATCTCTTCACAGTCAATATCGAGCCTTCGTCAGGTCAGGATCAGAGGAGCACTGGCCAGCTCCAGCCTCAAGCGGAGTCACTGTCCCATCCCAGTGACCTTTCACAGTTTAACTTCTTTGTCCTTTGATCGAAGTCTTCAAATCTTGTAAAATAATTCCCACGCATTATCCATTTCCCCAGAGACTCTTTGAAACAGAGAAATGTTCCTTATTTCCCAACAGATTTAGCAAAATGATTAACTTTTATGTGGGGCAGGCGCACTAAACAGGTTTGAATGGGTTAGTTTTGGAACATCAGAGGTAGTTTTGTTGTCCTCCTGTAATGCTGTGGTAAGGATCTTGTGTTGGTTCTCAGTGGGTGAAGTTACTTGAGCAAAATCTAGGGTGGTGCTGAGCTACATAACACAGCAAGGTCCCAGGTTTGCCACCCCCCCCCCCACTCCCCTGCACTGCATGGCAATGTCAGTCTAGAGCAATTGAGTTCCAAGTCCTAATGTGGGGTCTGAACCCACAATCTTCTGACTTCGAGGTGAGAGCGCTACCAAGTGAGCCAGGCTGACACCAAGACACAAATATTGAGAGATAGAGAGAGAGAGAGAGAGAGAGAGAGAGGTTGGGCTGGGAATCAAGAACTGGAAGTGCAACAAACTTCTTGCATTGTGGGTTTATGTCAGTGAAGCTACAGTAAGTGGTGTGAGGCCAGTATAGCAACTGGTATTTAATTTTTTATTCACCAAAAGGGAATATGCTGTTCCTAACTGTCACAGATTATTTATTCACTGTACAAACATGTGCTTCAAATCCAATTTGCTAGTTACGTTGCATTGCTTTGGCTACTTGTCACTGAAGAGTTTGTTCCTCACAAAGATTTATCTGCCAACGGCTGGGAGGAACTTTGTCTTATTTGGGTTTATTTCTTTATTTTCCTCCTAGTACCCCACGTGTCCCAGAAACCATTGAAATGAAAGTCCGAACAAGGACATCTAACGGGCTGCTCCTGTGGCAGGGAGTGGTGAGTATACAACAGTCAGTCGCAAACCCTTAACTCTTTGAAAAAGCAACTCGAGAAGAAAGTGGAGCTGTTGGATCTGTGGAATATATCGGCCTCAGATTGCAGATACACCAGAACCTAAATTTAGTTTTGATTCGAGACAAAAGTCAAATGTGGATGAAATCATGTTGACTTCTGATGTTCCTGTGGACAAGCAACAATAAACATCCTATTTCCCACGTATTTTATTTGGAGTCTGACTGAGGCCTCTTCACTCTTACAGAGCAGATTGTTTTACGTCAGAGATTCACTGTTGTATCGTGTAAAAATATTCTCTGCTCTGAGAAATTGTTTAAAGCTGATGGTAAAACTGCTGGATCTATAAAGAAAGCTACTTCAGTTAACACACAGCATGAGTGGCCGATTAACCCACATGTCATTTATAATAATAAAATAATAATCCTTGCATTTGATATAGCGCCTTATCACGCTACTGAGACGTCTCAAATGGCTTCACAGAATATACTGTAGAGTGTAGTGACTGTATGTTTTGTTTGTGAAAACGCAGCAACCAATTGAGCACAGCAGTGTCCCTAATGTGCGGAGAGCAGTGGAGATTTAATGTGTAGCTGCCATCTCTCCATTGATTAACATGCTTGGCTCCTTCCCCACCAGCCACTAAACCTTGTCCTGTTTTGCTTCCAATTCTGCAATCCCCAGGTTGGACATGACAGCCAGGAAGAGCAGCCTGGGCTCAGTGAGGTACTGAACATTGTATTGATTCCCTCACACATTGCAAAACTAAACTTCGCACAGTGTTTGTAGACCAACCAATGCAGAGCGAGAGGGGGAAAGATTAAGGGCCAGAATGACCTTTTTGTTTCTTCTGATTTTTAGGAAAATGGGGAAAATGGGAAAGGGAAAGATTATGTGGCTCTTGGACTCCGGAATGGCCACCTGCTCTTCAGGTAAGTCACCAGCTCCAAACAGCAGCCTCGCAGCTCAAGGTTACCTTCATCCTGTATTGAAGGACAGTACCTTTCCCTCATGTGTATTATGTGTGTTCTGTGCTTGTTCCCTTTCTCACCCTTTATCTCTAATGAGGCTCACACAGAAACATGGACACTTTCTGTATCAGCACCGCTTCCATTTTGCGTGATATACAAGATTATTAGATTTAGGATTCAAAATAATCCCAGGGCCGTATTGTTTATAAGCCCAAATACGTGTGTGTACGTGTGGGCTTCTGTGTTTGTGCACACGTCTGTCTGTGGGTGTGCTTCTGTGGGTGTGTTTCTGTGTGTGTGTGTATGTGTGCTTCAGTGTGTGTGTGTGTGTGCTGTGTGTGTATGCTTCTGTGTGTATGTGTGTGCTTCAGTGTGTGTGTGTATGTGTGTGCGTTCAGTGTGTGTTAATCGCAACTCTCTTTGCAGTCTTGACTTCAATCCAAATTTAAGCAGAGCCCCTTCTGGTGTTGCGCTTCCTGCAGTTTACCAAAACCCACTGATTGGTGTTTGTTGCTACATTTGCTTCAACCTTTCCTGTGGCTGTACGTTGCCACCAGTGCCAGAGTAAGATCTTATACGCAGTGTGTTTGAGGGCTATGAACATGTAGAACATGTATCTACTGTGAGGTACAAAGCTCTAACTTTCCACCTCATCCCCTGAGCGTACTTTGCCAGCTCCCCCTCCCCTCCTCCCACCACACACACACACACACTCTCTTTCCCTCACCTTACTTGGCCAACTCACTTGAACTGTCAGAATGGAGTGAGTGTGTGCACACAATTAACACCTGCACTGCAGTCTGGATGGCTGAATATATGGCATTTTGCTGGGACCCCAGTGTGAGATCTTGTGGACACAGAATGAGGGTTTCCTCAGGAAAGATCCTAGAAGCTGATTAAAGAGAATCGTCGGGCTATTTGGTGACCCCAATCTATTTGTTTACACCGCGGGTAGCAATAGACACATAAGAATTTGCTGGAGAAAGAAGACCAAGGTCCACCTAGTTCGCTTTACACCATCCTGGCAGTCTCTTGACATGTCGTGTCTCAAACTATATACTGTATCGTGAGATATTATTTTCTAGCAGAAATCTATCTATTTGTTCTTGAAACAAATGACATCTTCTGCTTCCACTGTCTGTCTTTTTCCCTCGGGAGTCTGTTCCATAAGTTTATTACTCGCTCACTGAAGTAGTGTTTCTGCAGATTTGTTCTACATTTATCCCCTTCAATCTCAGGCCATGCCCTCTGGTTCTACTGTTCAGTACAAGATAAAACAGTTTACCATGGTCTGCATTATCTATTCCCTTCAGAATCTTAAAGACCACAATCATATACCCCTCAACCTTCTCTTCTCCAGTGTGAAGCTGCCCAGTTTATCTAATCGCTCCTCGTAGTGCAGTCCCTCCATGCCCTCAATTATTTTTGTTGCCCTCCTCTGTGTCCTCTCAATCGCTGCAGATACTATTGCGGTGTGGGACCTGTTGATATTCTCATTTGATTGTGTTGCCATCAAAGCACCACTGCATTGGCACATGATGAAATGTCCGACATAAACCGTGGTGACAACGTACTCAGTGAGATTGAGTAGATCCTCTTTGACCCACCTTCAGCCACACTCCCCACTGAAGCAGTGACTGTGTTTTGTTTGACCTGCAGTTACCAGTTGGGAAGTGGTGAAGCCAATATCCTATCGGAGGACCCGATCAATGACGGGGAATGGCATAAAATAACTGCTGTGCGGTAAGAAAGCCCGTCTGGTGTTAAGAGAGTTTCTAACTTTCCAGTCTGTGGAAAATAGTGACCGCCTGGCACATGGAATTGAGTCAATGCTACAAATGTTAACGGAATCACTGCATCCTGACTTTCAGAAGTGGAGAGAGTCTGTGTAGGTCTGTTGTTCTGTCTTTAGAAGAGGAAATCGAGAGCTGCGGTGACTGAAGGCAGCCTTTTTCTGGTTTTGTAACAGAGGCCACCGTTTTTGGGGGCCTAAAAAATCCCTTTGCACTTTCTTCAGACTTTACCCACTCGGCATGTGTCAGCTGTAAATTTTGCAAATTAGAAATTGCGATTGATACAACTTATGTGGTTAGTGAATACATTAAAACTCACACAAGTTCTTACCTTTATTAATCATATAATCACCTAAGTCATACCTGCACCCAAGTCCCATTCAGTTTCCTGTCAAAACCCCCCACTTTGATTTCTTTGCACTATTTTATAAACAAATCATCTCCTGACTCCATTACTTTTCCAATTAATTACACATGTCCAGTGTAGATTATCGATTAAATTGGATTTTATATGATTTATAGAGTTTGCCTGTAACTCGGGCTTAACGTAAGTCATATTAAATGTCATGGTCCTGACTGACAGATACAATTACGTGAGTTTTACTGTAAGTGTGTCAGGAATTAAACTCTGATGTGGCGTACACACAAGTGGCTACCAGCAGCTTTAGGATAATTGCCAGTAACGATCTAAGAAATCATTTGTCTATTTTCACAGCGAAGGGAAGAGTGGACATATCCAGGTGGATGAGGATGAGGTGGTCAGGGGTGAGTCCACGGGAGACAAAGTCATGGTGAACACCAAAGGAAGCATCTATCTTGGTGAGTTCCCATACTTCGTAGTTTTGTTTGTTTATAATAAAATGCGAGGATTATTATTAATAATGACAATACTATAATTTGACTGGTACCGAATTAGTTTCCATCAGATTGAAAAGAAGGAAACTTGCTGCGTTCAAGTAACAATAGTCACTGTTAGTAGTGATTATTTTGTAAGCAAACATTTATTGAGTCAGAAAGATAAAAGCCCAATTTATCCGAAGGATTTGTTGATAACCTCAACTCCAAAACTCTTTGGCGTTGAGGTACAGATTAGCTAATAGAATGGTGGAACAGGCTCAATGGGCTCCTCCTGTTCCTATGTTCCTAAGGTCAATCAGTTATTTACTATATATTTGATTACTCTGGTGCAGTAATGTGAGGTGATGTTTGTGTTTTGATTTGAAGGTGGTGCACCGGACATCAAACCATTTACAGGAGGCAAGTTCACTTCCGGGATCACTGGGTGCATCAAGGATTTGCTCCTTCTAAATCAGAGACCGGATCAGCACTATGTGGAGCCCATCGACCTGCGGGTCCACGCAGAGGGAGGCGTCAATGCCCAGGAGTGTCCTTCATAGATGCTCTGATTCACCAAGGGCAAAGTAGAGACTTCTGGGGAAACGGTGCTTTGCTGCTATTTGTGTTGTGTATTGCAATCCTTTGTAATCCCCCTCCACTCCCCCTTCCGCCCCTTCAAAAAAAATCATCACAATTTCAGCAAATTGCAGTATCTTGAATGAAGGATCTCAGCAAATCCCAGGTCGGTTTCTTTTGTGCTTCCATCTTATAGGAAGGCTATTAACCATCCTCTCGAGGCTGAAGAACCTATGGATTTAGATCTCTCTCCAGCACTGAATTTGAATGTTAGTGAACTTTGCTGCCTTTGCCTCTGGGTTCTCGCACTGTGTTGTCAGGCACTCTGACCTGCTTTGGGGTCTGTACTTGAAATGAACCAGACTCTGTTCGTCACGGTCATCACATTATTAACTAAAAGGTTCAAAAGTTGAATGCGTGGAATCGTGTCCGGGTTCTGACTCCTGGAAGAATACATCTGTAATTGCATTGCTGAATGGGCACGTGGGCAGGTACCAGTTCTAGGCCCACACTTTCTGCAATAAGGCAAATAAGAATGACGCTTTTTATTGAACTTGTTTAGTGAGAGTTCAGAAATTTCTATCGGTTTAATGACCAGAAAGTGGAGTCTGGAACAAACAGGCTGAATATTCCTGCAGTACTGGCATCCGTTAAGCATGTGTAAACCTGCTGTAAAGCTGGTAATCTTTCCCCTCAGGGTCTGACCTCGACACAAGAGAGTAATATGCAGCATCAAAGGAAACTCAGAAACACTAAAAGCTTTGAAGCATCAATCTCCAGCACAAACTACTGTCGGCTCTGTAGACACCTTCTGGTCAAAATTGCTTCTGTCCAGAAACCAAGCAATTTAGTCACGTCATCGAGTTCTTAAAGAACCGCTGTTTGTGTGACTAAATATTTACTTAACAATTTTTATCCCCACAAAACTAGTGTTCCTTTAAGTAAGTTCCGGGGGTGGTGGTGGGGGGGGGGCGGCTGGGATCCATTGCTCATTTTGTGTTCATGACTTTTCTTAAAGGAATAAGAGTTGGGAAATGGAGTTAAATTTCTAAAGATTTCCTCCCTTTTCGTGGGGTTTTTTAATCCAATATTGGTTCTAAAAGGGTCTTTTTTTCTGTGGATAAAAACCGCTTTTAACTGTGGTGTTTGACCCAACTTTTGCATTGAGGGTAGATACAGTGCCAGATGTTCTCTCAGCTGGAGTAATGGTGTTTAAAACCAAAGAGCTTCTTTTCCAATTGCTATTCAATAGTATTTTTTTGCCGCACGTTCAAACTGTTGCTTATATGAAATTCTGAGAGAGCAAATGATTGGTTGGTTGGTTGGTTGAACCTGGTAATAGATTTAAAAGTCAGGTGTAGATACAGTATATTCCAACCATTCTTTGGACAAAAATTTGCTTATTTTATTGTGAAGATTATTTGCCATTTCTATTCTTCCAGTTTGTTTTGCCCATTCACTGATTTAACAGAATGTAGGCATCATCTGAACCTTTTGTGACAGAAATGACCTGGGTATGTACATAACACAAATGCAATTTTTAAAAAGAAAAATACCAAATTGTAGGACCCTTGCTTAGACATTAACGATGTTACAACTACTGACAACTCTTACTTAGCCTTGTCCAGAACCCTCCTCCCACCTGTTTAATATTCCTAGCATTCACAATTCAGTTAATTTTGTGCAACATCCCTAATTGTTTGTAACATGAAGGCATTTACTGTATTTTTTTAACCAAAAACCTGTTATCCAGTAAAGCTCAGTATTAATGAAAGCTGAACCCGCCATCAGTGGCTCAGTGTTTCACCAGCATTGTATTACCTCTAAGGTTTGAGACATGCAGTTTTTTTTGTGTAAAGCCATGAAAGTAATTGCCAAGGTGCTCTTGTTTTTTTTTGAGAAAGGAATAATTTATAAATAGCTTTGTTTTTCTTAATTCCGATGCTCTTCATCCATGTTCTTTGTCAGTAAACTCCTTGCAGCTTGACAATAAGCAGTTGTAGCGATTAAAAATTGCATTCTAGTTTAAAAAGATGTATAATGAAAACCACTTGTGTATTTACATCCATTTGATTGAGAACTTGTACTACAGACTACTAGAATAATTTGCTTCCCATCATTATTAACTGCGTTCCTGCCGGTGGTTAGTTGAAGACGCTTTTTGATTCCGCAAACTATCTTGAGAAGCAAGTGCCTTTTTTGAAGCTGGAATGAGATGAGCTGGAGGGCAAGAAGGATAATGATGAAGGTGTCTGAATGAGAGATTTGTATTAAATGTGATCAGAACACTGGCTGATACTAGAGTGGGGAAAGGAATAAAACCAATAAGAGCCAAAGCCATCCAGTAATGCCCATTGAGTGAGCTAGGACATTTATTAACAATCCCTCTGAACCTTTTATGCATTTTATTTTGTAACCATGTCTTATTCATTGATTTCCTGATCAGAGGAGCCAATAAATGTGAGTGTGAAGTGACTGATTGAAGTTAATTTGACCAGTTTGACTATGTGTTGATATCGGAGAAAGAAAGAAATGGATGTCTTTCTAATCTCAGTATACTTTGAGAAATATTGAACTATATATTTTATTTCTATTCCATTTCTACGCAACCTTATTTTTAAGACTATGTGATGCAATCCTCTTGTACTTTTTATGAACTAGAATTTGTTTCAATGCAAACTAAACCGTAGCCAGACAGGTGACACACCAAGGAATTGATGGTTTTAGGACCTCAGCAACACAATGTGAACTGTACATTGACAAGTGACCGGCTGAAATAACAGAAAAGGTTCAGAAAAGGTTTGATGTCTTTTGAAGATGTTTTCACCATTTTCTGTCTATTGCAATCTAACAAGGATCCTAGTCTGGACATCCCCATTCTTTGTGTTATACTAACCATTAGAATGTTAAATCATTAACTGAATACTGAATATTTCTATGCAAAGAAAGTTTTTTTTTCCATAATAACTTTTACATGAAGGACAGAGGCCGTGCCATGGAGAAAAGCTCCTTGAGAGGTGACTTGGGCAACTTGCAAGCAAGACTGTGATTAAAACATATCTGTGTTGGTGCTCGCTCCCCCACTGGAGCTGTCTACCCTGACCCCATTCCTCAAAACACTTTCATCTGATTCCCTTCTGTAATTAAAAGCCACTTGAGTTGCACTCACTGCTAACTTTTTTGGTGGAAAAAAAACCCTCCTCATTTATGTTCCAGTAAGAATCTTGCCTCCCAATTTGGTTTTCGGATCTCCAGGAATATCCTAAGAGACCTGCAATAACTCTCTTCATTGTTGGCTTGCGAAGATGAGTTTCATTTTATTTCTGCCCCAGTCACATTGCAGCACGAGATTATTAATGCAGTTTTGCTCAAGTCGCCTCCATTATCCTTGGACCATCGTACAATCTTGGTCACTGTGACGGCAGCACATAACACGCATTCTGTACACGGTGCTAACAGAGGGATGACTAGTTTATTGTCTGACCAGTGCTGCTTTGAGACAGCGTAGACCTTGGACGGGGGGTGTCTTCATGTAGGAATCCTCGTTATCTCTCACTTTAGTAAAGTTTTGTAAAGTCGAGGAAACGGAGGAGTGACAGTAAACGGGGATGAGTGAGAGAGAGCAGCTTTGAATGAAGGAAAACCTTAAGGTAGAAAAGCAGACACGAGAAACAAGGTCAAAATGATTCTATTTTTCTACATCATGACATTTTCTACCAAACAAGAAAAATGTGAAGGCTTTATCGTAACAGTAATATTTTATGGACATAAGATGCCAAAGAGCTGCCAGTGGGGGAATGTAGCTGTCTTTGGGTGGCGTGGCCTGGTGAAAGTGTAACGAAGTATAATTCCAGTGGATATTGTATTGTTTACCAAATCTGAAGTGTTTTAATATAAAAGTCTGATAGTCCTATGGCATCTATATATCACAATTGCCACTTATTTGGTGCTTAAATGGTTTCCTTGGAGTTCCCAAACGGACCTGCTGTCTGTGCCAATGCATTTTATTTAAACAATAAAAGCTTTTTAATTCACTGGAGCTGGCAATTGTATCATGCATGGTCATATTATAGCCAGGAGACTGATATGAAACAACACACACGCGCACGCACACACACACTGAAGAATTTACGTGTGCAATCAACGTCTGCTGATAAATCACACAGCCAGTTATCAGCATTAGATTGACCAGGAGCCTTACAGAGATTTACAGCTCGGCAACAGACCCTTCAGCCAAACCTCCACACGAGTTAATCTGATGCTTATGTTGTAGTCAATTGGCTGCTGCGTTTTGCCCAGAAAATATACAATCAATTCACTTTACAGTATATTCTGTGAGGCGCTTTGAGACTTCTCGAAGACGGAATAAGGCGCTATATCAGATGCAAGGATTATTATTATTATTATTATTATTGTTAGGCTGACGTGAGAACTGGGGGATGCAGTGCATTGTCAGAGAATAATTCTTGCATTCACATCTGGAGGACCTTGTGAAATGCTTCACAGGATTTACCATAAAGCGTAGCAACTGGATTATATCTTTTGGGTAAGACTTAAACTGAGGCCCGTCATTACTGATCTCAAGGTGTGATTCGAAAAGAGAAAGGCAGTTTCTCCCACCAAAAATTATATATATATTGTGGGTGAAACACGGCAGCCACTGCACAGCAGTGTCTCATAAACACTCGTGGATTAAACCTTGGTGCAAACTTTAGGTCTCAGAAGATTTGCCCAGAGAGATGGCAGATATGTGGCCTCTGTGTGCGACCAGGGAGGTCAGTTCCGGGATCTCTGCTGGAAAGGCGTTGTTCCGCATTCTTGCTTCTCTCTCTGCGATTGCTGGGGAGGTGTCTGTCTCGTGCCCACAGACCTTTTATCCCTCAGTCTCTGCTATTTTTTGCAGTGAGAATACTCTCTGGTGTCCTTTAAATGTTCCCGAAATAATACGGAGGATCCAGGTTGCTAAGCGCAGAGGACAATGGGAATGAGGAGACCACAGATGGCGAGTGTTCGAAACATAGAAACAAGAGGAGGCCATTCAGCCCCTCGAGCCATTCTATAAAATTATGGCTGATCTGTACCTCAAGTCCAAACACCCACTCTTGCCCCATATCCCTCGATACCCTGACCTAACAAATAGCTATCTGCCTCAGTCTTGAAAATGTGAATGGATCCAGCACCACAGCCTTTTGGGGGAGATAGTTCCAGATTTCCACTATCCTTTGGATGAAAAACTCACTCCTGATTTGACTTTAACTTTAAGGTGATATCCCTCTTGTTCTGGATTCCCCCAGCAGAGGAAACAGTTTCTCTGTAGCTGCCCTAACGAATCCCTTTATTATTTTAAGAACCTCAATCAGATCAAGGGAGTAGATACCAAGTTTATGTAACCTGCCCTCATAATTTAACCTTTTTAGCCTTGGTACCATTCTGATGAATCTGGGTTGCAACCCCTCTGGAGCCAACACCCACCTCACAAGCGAGAGACCTGGGTTTTGTTCCCGGGCAAGGCAAAATGTTGGGCAAGTTTCCTTATTCCACGCGCCTCTGTTTACCTTGCAATAAGTAGGAACCCGGTTGTTAATCGATTGGTGGATCGCTTTTCTGGGGGTAATAATTCCTTCAAAAAAATAATAATAATAATAATGAATTGGTCACTCAATCCCTGACTGTTTGTGGGAAGCTGCTGTGCCCAATTGGCTGCCATGTTTTGCCCATAAAATATACATTCAATTCACTTTACAGTATATTCTGTGAAGCGCTATGAGGTGTCTTGAAGATGTGATGAGGCGCTATATTAAATGCAAGGATTATTATATCCTTCCTGAAGTGCAGTGCCCGAAACTGAACACAGTCTCCAGGTGGGGTCTGACCAAGGCTCTGTATAGTTGAAGCATCATTTTCTCTCCTTTATATTCCAGCCTCTTGAGATAAAGGCCAACATCCCAT